GAAACAGAAAACAGTGAACCACAACAACACAAGATTAGAGAGGTGATGTATCACCAAATGCAGATACAGTTTTTAATTGTAGATCAGAGAGAGAGAGAGAGAGAGAGAGAGAGAGAGAGAGAGAGAGAGACAGACAGAGAGAGCGAGAGAGAGAGAGAGAGAGACAGAGAGAGTGAGAGAGAGAGAGAGAGAGTGAGAGTGAAGAGACAGAGAGAGAGAGAGAAAGAGTGAGAGAGAAAGAGAGAGAGAGACAGAGAGAGCGAGAAAGAGAGAGAGAGAAAGAGAGAGAGAGACAGAGAGCGAGAGAGAGAGAGAGAGAGACAGAGAGAGTGAGAGAGAGAGACAGAGAGAGAGAGAGAAAGAGTGAGAGAGAAAGAGAGAGAGACAGAGTGAGAGAGAAAGAGAGAGAGACAGAGAGAGAGAGAGAGAGAGAAAGAGAGAGAGAGACAGAGAGAAAGAGAGAGAGAGAGAGAGAGAGAGAGAAAGAGAGAGAGAGAGAGAGAGAGAGAGAGAGAGCGGGGTAATTAGATAGAGAGGGAGCAGGTGCGATAACAAATTGGTCCTTTCGTCCTATGTGCGCAGCTGATGCACTAGAAGAAATCAGCAATGAGTAAGAAAGCCACCTCTGCAGTGCTTTTTTCTCCCGCCTAAGAACCAGATTTCATCCAGGACCTTCTAATTTGAATGATGAACATGGGTTGTTTAAAAAATAAAAATAAAAACTATATTTCCAGACAATAGCTTTAAATACAATAAGTGAACAAAAGTATTGTGTTTCCATGTTCCATTTAGGCTCTTCTACAGAGAACAGATCATTTACTGGAAAGGATCTGAAGATATTTAACAACTATTCACTACAGCTCCCATCAGACCCATTTCACAATGTATCAAGGCTCATGATGATGCTTTAACAGAGTGCTAGTCTAATCATTCTTTAATCTTTGTTAAAGGAGTAGTTCCTCATTTTGAGAATAAGTTAAGTTAATTCCTTCCCAAGAGTGTTTATCTGTTTGATACAAATGAAGCTAAAGGCAGGGAGAGGGACACAGGCTGCGATATTAGAGTGGTATCAGTCTTCTTAGCTTGAAAAATATACATCAATAAATGATGATAAATTGCTCTCCAGTTCGGCCATACAAACCAGTTGATTTTAATTTAATGTCAGCTACAGCTGCTAGCTGGACAACATGGGGAGGGGACTTCAGTGCTTCTTTAATATGTCATTTAAGAGTTTCACACTTAACTATATTAAAATGAACGCTTGCACACACTATAGTGAGGTAGGTTAACAAATACCAAAAGATAATGCTTCTTTATGCTGTTCAAAATATTTGAAATAATGCCAAAAAGCTGAAGAAAGTACACAACAGCTACAAAACACTCTTAACGCCCTTTTCATTTTACAAAAAAAAAACAACTATGTCTTTGTGACACACAAACTGGTGACTCAGCTGTGAGAAGCCTTGCTGCAAATGAACAGGCTTTAACACTCCTGGATGTGACTGTCCCATCTGATAAAGAGGCCATGATGCAACACAGTAATGTAAGCTGCCAGAACATGAGCTGTATTAAATGTCATTAACAAATTGACTCATCTGCAGACCGCCCCCATGACAGACTGATTTACCCGCGGCATTCTGTTCAGGGAACAAAAAGTCACAGAAAGAGACACAAAAAAAAAATGGAAACGGCTGAGTAAAGGTGAGACAGGGGTGAGATTGAGAGATCAGCTGGAACAGAGAGAAAAGAGAGAGAGAGAGTTGAATGAAAACATTGAGGTAGAAAAAAGAAGATGAAGAAGTAGAGAGATGGACAAGCCAATGGAGTGGGAGAAGAGAGAAAGCAGGTCAGTCAGTGATGGATAAGCACACTGGATGCTTATTGATCCTCTCTGAAGGCAATTAGAGGGATCAGTTTCTGACTCGACTATACACAGTCATGCTGACAGGAGAGAGGAAGGTCAGGTCAAGATGTCGCCATTGCCAGAGAAAGTTTGAACATAATTCCAACCTCTGCACTCTACATTTCTCAGCCATGACAAGAACCAAAGCTACAATCTCTCTCCTTTTAAAACCCCATACAATCCTTGTTTAATAATGATTCTTTGAACCTTTAACAGACATGATGAACCTGTAACATCAAAGCTCTGAATAAAGGAAAACAGAAGAATAAATGAGCAAAAGTAGGAGATAAATAAATACTTTGTATCATATGGATGAATGTTCTAATAGGTTATAGGCTGGTTGGTTGATAAACATTTAATTCAATTGATCGACAAGCTGAGGGCATTTTATTTAGCCCTACAGATGTGAGTTTTTAGATTGATTTGGGTTGCCAGGGGTTGGATCTGTTTTTTTTTTATTTCACTCTCCAAGATTCAAAACACAAAGCAAAGTTCAAATGTTTGCATATTCACACCTCAATGATATGGTCTCTGCCATTTGTTTGTTTGAAAAAAACAAAGAAAAGGAAAACAAGTTACAATAATCTAGAATCAGATTATTTTAGTTTGTTTATGTTGTTCTAAAAGTCAACTTCTTTCAAGAGTTTTCCATAATGACTGAGACTTTTCTTTTTCTGTGTAGGCAGATTGCTGCCCTTAAAGTTCAGGAAATTTGCATTTACCACCATATTATTTTTGATAACTAGATTTGTACTAGAACTCCTGAAAACAACTATACTGGCCCTTGTGAAGAAATAATGTTTTTGTGATTCCAATAGAAAAAACTACTGCAAGATGGCAATGCAGATGAACTGTAACTTATTGTTCTGTATTGACTAAATCTGGATCCAAAACTGTTGATCTGAAATAAAATAAGCACATTTGTTTTAAATGCATAGAATTTGTACTTCAACCCTTAAAGTAATGTTTGAAGTGAAAAGATAGCATCATCAAAATTGGTTTGCCCATTTCATCTGGCCACATTTGACGACACTTTGTAATTAAAGATCATCAACAGGCCTCACCACTGCACCAGTATGTCTGAGTGATGATCTCACCCCTTGATGGCAGCATTAATAAGGGACTACTAAGGCTATCAACTTCAAAACCCAGAGTTAATCAATGGACACATCTAAAAGACTTGGCAATAACAAGAATGCGTTTCTATTTATCTTAACTTAAGCTTTAGGCTACATGTGTTATGAATCAGGATTATAGCTTCAGTAGGGCAATAAGTGACTGATTAAGGCCTACAGAAAAATAAAGCAATTTACAGTTTAAGAAGTTATACTAGTATCTCTATACACAAAACGTCTGTTCAGGGGTAAGAGTGTATTAATATTGACTGTGTTTCATTCAAAGGCTACACAGCGCAGATCTTAGTCAGCTGATGCAGGAGGCCAGTTTGCGCACTTCGACAACATTAGGCCTAGACGATTCTTGACGTAGAATATTAAACGCAGGATCATAAAGATTCTGGGGGAAAAGGGTGTGATGGTTCCCCTTGCCTCACTAAATATTGTGATTACTATCCAAAACTCAATCAGACAGGTCGGACAGATGATTTATTGATGAATGGCCTGCATACAACAAAGCAAAACCTTTTACTCACCGCGACAACAACAGTGTCGTCTCCTTGGAATTTGGGGATAAACTGGTCCCCACGTACAATCTCAGACTGGTTCAAAGGGCGAAAGCGACACAGCACTTTTATGTTGCACTCTGCTGGGACATCGGCCATTGCGCAGATTCAATGAGGAGGAAGGATGCTGCTTTCTGCTTAGGGCGAAGATGCTGCTGAAGCTGGAGAGCAAGTGATCAGGGCCTATTCTGACCGTCAAAATAAATGACGAAGGATACGTAGTGACCTCGTCCTTTGCCGCTGTGAGGTCGATGACGAAGGCTGAAGAGGTTCGCTGGTTTTATCTTTACAAGCTCAAAAAGGCTGATATTTATTTTTGCGCAGCTGGACGGTGTTTTCCTTGTCGCAGTGAGGCTGGCTAAATTACATGTAAAACCGCAAACGATCCCCTACATCATTAAAATAACAGACTGATCATATCGCTCGATCCCTCTTGACGCTCTTTTTGACACTGTCCCTCTCTGTAGTGGGTTTTATCCTCTTCTTTATTGGGTGCGGCGGTGGATGTGCGACTGTCCGGTTGAAGGTGAGATGCTGATGGAAGGGCAGTGAGGTAAAGCTGCTGTTGTCGGGCCAGCTTGGAATCGCCACAGCGCCCTCTATCGGAAAGCAAAAGAAGGGCGTGGTCTGCATCCGTCCCTTTAAAGTGGTACCCACAGCTTAGGCGTCAGCTCAGCATCCTCGCAGACTGGCGGAAACCAGAGCCCAAAGCTGCAGCGTCATATCCTAACAGAATGATGAAGGAAAACAACCTGACTTCGTGTAAGCAGCTGCAGGGCCGCTCACTCAGAGACCAATCACTGATATATTCTGAGCCCTGGCACGAGAAACCGTTATGGGAGTGCAGTGCCAGGGTATTGATGACTCTAGGCCTCACCTTGTTTTAGTGTTATTCTGACATAAGCACTGAGATGATACAGCACAATGTGAAAAATACAAGCTATTACAATGCACATTTCAATAAAATGCCAATTGTGCTTGTTTGGAGTTAGCATTAAAAATTATTTCAAAGATAAATGAAACAAATGCCAACACAGCACAATTTAGTTAATTAAAACTGGGTTGACATTGTCAAAAGGGCCATTTCTTAAAATATACATATCAATTTTTACAAGATTGATATATTTCTATAATAAAATCAGATGTTAATCAATGCCCCAATATTAATCAAATTTCTAATTAAATCTGTTCTTTTTAAAAAAATATTTGATAAAAGCAACTAAGACAGGCAAGCACACAACCCAAATGTGTATTGGATTTTTATAGAAGTGTCAGTGTTGCCCTTGTTTTTCTGTTTACAGCCTCGGTCGTTATGCCTATACGTAATCTACAATTTAAAAAACGAGTTAATGCAAATTCTTAAACCACATGATAATGGTCCTTATGTCCAATTCAAAGCAGAAGTCAACACAGAGGTACTTTTTCTGTAAATAGTTTAATATTAAATAAAAAAGACTCCCATATAAAAAGAAAGCTACAGTCCACAATTTAATCTTCTGAAACATAAGTATTGAAAGCAAGGGGTAGAATGAGAAAAATACTTAATTACAATTCCCAGAAAAATTCACAATTTGTTTTCTTTTGTCTCTTTCTCTAACAATATAAAATCAAAATAAAACACATTAACTGTACATATATACACATTTCCAAGTGTAGAAATTGCATAATCTGCTTTCATTTTCACTTTTCTTTATTTATTTTTTTAAATACAGCTAGAGATGCCAGTATTCTTGGGGCAGGGCAGCATGTGGAGGAGAGCTCAAACAGTGATATGAGGAGACGGGGAGATTACTCCAAATCTACATTAACACAAGGACTCAACAGATCCACATAAGACATGATCGCTCTCTGAACTTGTGTTTTCCAGCCATTCTCATCACCAATCAAAGGGCATTCAGTACTATACTTTGTGTAAACTCAGGAAATCTGCAAATGAAAAAAGTCTGTAGCTTTTCCGGACAATAATCTCCTGGCTGGGGAAAAAGAGTGTTTGGACGGGTTTCTACAGAAACAACAGACGTTGATTCATCTCCATCACAACACAGCTTCATGCTGTTCTTTACAGCATGAAATGTAAGAGGGTGATGCCTAAATAGATTTTTTAAGCATGACTAAATTCTTCGGGTTGTACTGTGGAAATGACTGCATGTTGTCATATTCACTTAAATTTCCTGATCTGTAGTGGTACCCTGACATATTATGACCTGATTCAAACAGTTGTACAAAAGAACTTCATTTCTTATAAATGTCTTCGTAGACACAATTAGTGATGCACAAACCTGAAGGAACACCTTGAATCATGATTAAAAGTTGTTTTCTTAGAGTGTTAAGTTACATGATATGATACATCGATCCACATCGTTTCCCTGGTTTGTCACATACAGAAGGTTTTTATTCAACTGTGAAGGAGAAAAACCTTAAGGACCCCCCCCCCCTCCCAGCAACTTTTGAAAACCTTATAGAACTCTTCTTTGAAATACAACTGCAAAGTATGTCTCTGCAAAGAGCCCTCTATCTTTCTATGAAAGATATAAAGGGCCTACATAATTTAATGAAAACAAGTTCAACTCACCATCAGACATTGAGGGGCTCAGCAATAGCACTGTTGTCCAACACACACTCAAACATATAGAAAGACACACACCCACACAGGTACAAACACACTTTCAAAAGAGAGCATATTTCAAGTAGATGGGCTTGATCTTGACTCACAGTAACACACTGATGAGAAGAAAACAGTACTTTTCTGTTTTGTTTTTTTGTATGTTTTCTTATTGATATTATTTTAACACCAACCATAGTCAACAGATTTCTGATCACAATGTCAAGCAACCATTATTTTGTGACCTACACCTAAGAGAAGACCTATGTGAAAAGCATTGACAAAATTTCTCTTGATTTTTTTTTTTTTACCTTTATAAATTAACTTGTCCGTCTAGATCCCTCTCCTATGTGTTTATTCATAGTGGTTGCCATAAAAATGGTTGACATGACAACAGCATAATAGTGCAGTTGAATTATAAAAACAGTGGTGACAATGGTGGAGCGATGAGAGGGGGGACCTCCTTTGATTGGTGTACAGCTGTGACATACAGCTCCCTCCACCAATCACTGCCTTTGAGACCTGGCACCTCGACGCCTCCTGCCGCGGACTGACCTCTCAGGCTTCAGCAGTGCTGACTGGAGCAAGAAAGACAGAAAAATAACACACACATTAGACTAATCTCATTTTAGTATCTTAATGGAGGAAAGATTTTAACACTGACATCAGAATTGAATTGTTCTGAGATCACAAGCATGGAACAAAGTCCTGTCTATCCTGCATTCCATTCACAGAACAGTGAGAATGTAGAGTAAGAACTGACTGCAGAGCCCTGCCCCTGAAGCCCTCACAGACTAAATTTTATGTTTTTCTGTCTAGAAACCTGGAAGACAACATTTTAAAACATGCTGCTTTTAGAGTTAAAAGCACTTTATTGACTTTGGAAATGGATATTTAGACTATAAAGTCCAAGGCTAACCAATCTAAAAAAAGGTTTAGTTTTATTCACTTCAATCCTACTACAGCGTACCCATCTTCTGATGAATAAGTAATTGCGCGTTTTTTTAAACATTCAACTGAATGGAACTTGAGGCTAGATAGTTTTCTCAAATGCTGCTTTATTTTATGACTTTTCCTGTGAATATTCTCTATGATATTCTTAATACATGATATTTCTTGGTATTAATTTGTGACTGCTGTGGTGTTCCCTTGGGACAAGCGAATCATATAAAGGTAGAGGAAGAACAACCTTTTCATAATATGAAACTATGATTCAGGATCAGATTGGCTTGTAGTTCATGGTAGGAGAGGATCAGCTGCTAGCATGTGGAACAAATTCAAAGCTTTTATAAAGTAACAGTAACATATTCATTAACAATAACTAAGGGAAATACAGGCTGTGTTTAAAAAAATTATAAAATAAATTATAAATAGTCTTACATAAACTTTCCTACGATACTTACCAAACAGAGGTGCTAATAAATTAAATGTGAGTCAATAAGAGGAAATTTGGTCTTACCGTAGCCTTGGTGTCCTCTAGTGCTGTAGGATCTATGTCTCTGAAGTCTTCTAACACATTCTGTAGCCTGAAAAAGTAAGAAACACACCAGTATTCAACATAGACCTATATAGCCAAATAAACATGCAATTTGTTGTATAAATCAGAAAAAGCAAGTGTGATAATAAAAGGGAGATAATGCATCCAGGCTAGTCCCTGTCGAGACAATACAAATGTGATAAATAACAATGACATTTGTAATAAGATTACTAACGTTTGTTTCCTTTTTCTTCCTCTTCTTGCTCCACCCGCTGCTCCCGCTTGATCCTTCGGAGGTAGAATTAGATTTGACATCAGAAACAAGCCATTATAAATCACAGGCATTAATTAAAGACTTAAGTATTTGTAGGGGTCGTCACATGCAGTTCCACCTTTAGGTCTCACATCTTTCCAAAGCACTCACCCTGCTCTGTTCAGTGTGCAGAAATGTCTCAGCAGACTCTTCTTTGGGCCTCACACTGCATCCATCCAGTGGACTGAGGTATCCTGCATGGGGAAAATGCCCCTGCCTATCCACCCCTGCCTGCACATAGGGGCATACAGCTGCAGAAGGCCCAGTGCAATCTGTCTTCGCCTCTTCCAAGTAGATGGGTGGCAGAGGAGGCTCTGGGTGAGTATGCCCCTCTACCATGTCAGGTTTCCTTAGTAAGCTCGGTGTGGACCCATCCTCAGTGGGTTTTGGGGTCCCCTGGGCTGGAGAATGGGCCACTGCTTCCAGGTGGAGTCGAGATAAGTCTGGGTTGCGGAGGGAACAGGCCCGACGTGGGCTGAGGGAGGCTGGGGCACTTGCCTGGGGTATTGGGGCAGGGTGTGACCGGGTATGGTGCTCCACAGGGAAAGAAACCGGCGGTAAGGCACAGTAGGGTGAAGTGGGGTCAGAGGGCCCCAAATTGGCCCCGTCTTCCTGCTCTTTAGCGTTGACTTGAAGAAAGGAGGTATAAATCGTGTCCATGAAAGAGGTGTAAGGATCAATGACAGACTTTCCCTCAGATAATCGCTGCTGGGTTGGTGTTGGCTCTTGGGCAGTAGCAGGAGCTGGAGTTGGAACAGGACTAGGAACCACCTCAGTAGAAATCTGAATAGCTGGAATGTCTTCCTGTTGGGCAGGGCTTTGTGACTCCTGCAATGAGACAGCCTTCTCTCCCTCTGAGGGTGGTGCAAGATTTAGCTGAAAGACAGAAATAATACATTTGAGGCAATCAATAACATTCAAATATCAAAAATTTATATCGAGCAAGAAACAATGTGGAAAAGCCAAATCTTCTATATTTGTTCTAGATACTATTGTTAATATAAGCACTCTGATTTCCTTAGAAGTAGTATTGTAGTAGTTTTGTCCACTAGCATTTTAGCAAGCATTGGATGTTTGCATGAAAACAGACAGAGTGGAGACCAAAAGAGGCAAAAGTGACTTGGACAAAGGAAAGATTCAGCTAAGAAATCAACACTGATATGAATAACTGCACTGAATAATTAGCTGCTAGAGGCTATATAATCGCCAAACAAAAGGCCATTCAAATTTGTGTTTCTGATTATGTTACATCACAAACATTCTGTAATCACAGTCATAACCTTTTGTGTACATCTTGTGTTGTGTTATTTTTTTAAATGGTCCATTATTTGAGCTCTTCTTTTACACTGTTAATCACTACTATCAATATTCAGGGTTAAGAGTCAGATTTTACCAATCCTAAAGTAAAGCACTTCATGGTTTTACTTTCAGCTTTAATGCTAAAATCTTGCCCATGAGAACTGTGGACTGCTAAAACAGCTAATGATCCAAATGATTACGTTTCTTGCATAATTCTATTAATGCATACATTTTAAACGTGAAAACAAAACATGTTTCCTTAAAGTGATGTGACATTATCAACAAAGACAATATATTTGACTTTTAGGAGATGTTGGACCTCTAAATCTGCTCTTTCCACTAAGCTTCATGTCAGTTATCTACCTGTATGTTGTTGAGCAGGTTGATGGCTCCATCAGGACCCTGCAGTAGAGGCATGCCTAAAGCAGAGGCCTGGACTGGGGGTAGAAGAATGGAACCTGCGCCAATCCCCAACATGTTATGGAGACTTGTTATGGCAGAAAGATCTCCTACAAAAACACACAAAGGGAATTATATAGTTGATTCATGCTACAGCTCAAACATGTATTATGAGCAGTTGGTTATTTATTCTGGTATTAGTTAATTTGTTCCTGGCAGTTACTCACCTAACATAGCAGGGTTAAGCAAAGTGGGCAGTAAATGTTGAAGAATTGGGTTGTCCTTGCCTTGGAGAGATAGGGGGATGAGGGTGTCAACACCAGAATCAGCCGATACCTGTAGAGTAGCGTGGTGTACAGCGCAGAAGAGGAGAGGATTAGTGTTTCTTGCTAATGAATCACAAAACAGTGAATCAAAGAAAAAAAAGAGAGAAAGAGAGACACAAACATTCTGTACATGTTAAGTCATTTAAAATGTTCACAGTACACCTTTATTATAATTAGTTAAGACAGACTGCAACCAAACCCATCCATGTAGTTTGAGGTTGTCCTCTTTGAAATTATTAAATAGAAAAATGTAAGTTTAGCAATAAAAAGGAAAGTTGGTGGGTTTTTCAGAAAAATGGAGCAGTGAAGATTAGCTCCTATTTTTTTCAGGTAGAAAGGCCTACCTGAGGAGGGGTATGTTGGGTTTGCTGTGCAGGAACTAAATGGGTGTGGGGAGGTGGGTGGAGCTCAGCAGAGCCCAGGGCAGCAGCAAGCAAGGTAGGGCTGAGGGGCAGGAAGGCTGCAGGGGGAGGAGGAAGACCAGCAGGGAAGAGCAGAGACTGTAGGGCTTGGATATAGCCCTCAGCTCCTGGAGGAATGGGGAGGAGGCCCTGTGCAACCTCCAAAAGTCCTGGGCCATGTAGTGATGATGGATCCAGGAAGCCAGATGTCTTTTCCAAGGTGAGGCCCTCAAATGTGGTTGGCAGGTGCTGTGGCTGCTGGAGAGGAACTTCTAAGCTGACCTGGCTCAACTGAGCAAGCCCAGATAGAGGTAACAAAGGCGCATGCTGTTGCCCAAGCAACAATGACGCCATGAGCAGAGCCTGAAGGCTAGGTTTTTCTGTTAGCCCTAAGTCTGCTTCCTGTCCTGGGGCAGGAGTTGAGGCTGAGGTCGGGGCAGGGAGTGGGTTCAGCAGGCCCAAAAGGTTCAGAGGGAGCTCCCCTTGAGCACCACTTAACAAGGGCAACAATGGAAACAGAGGGCTGTTGTTTATCTGTTGTTGCTTATGCTGTTGATCCTGGTTCTGCTGCTGTGTCTCTTGTTGTTGTATCAGTAACTGCTGACTTTGCTCCGATTGCTGCTGCTCTGCAAGATTCTGTTGTTGTTGTGTGGCATTTGCAGGGGGTATCTGTGCATGTTGACCTCCCAGCCATAGTCCACCTAGGGGCAATGAAGCCAGAACTGCAGGGTCCAGGAGAGATGGTAGACCTCCTGTGGATGACAGAAGCTGAAGCAGCTGCTCCTGGTTCATGAAGGGGAAAGCCTCTGCTAGAGGTAAGGGACTGGTTGAGTCACCCATAATTGAAGGTGTATGAGGACTGTGACTATCCCCAAGACGAGAGATGTTGGGCCCAGGACTGATGGCTGCTGGAGGTTTTGTCAGGATGGAGACCTTTGTGTCCACACATCTAGGCTCCTCTGGCCCTATAGGTGAGACATCAATCATTCATATTCTTTCAGGCTGATTTATCAGTGAGGACATTTTATACATGAGTAAACTGCCAGTATGCAATGTTTTAAACAGGATTAAACTGCAGTGCCTGAGTTTGATAGTTATCTGCAAAAAACACATTAACACGCTTACAATTTACAATCATATATGAATTAATATGAGCACCTAAACTGGCTCAAAGAAGCACCCAAAAAGGCTTTAAAACATTAAAAACATGCCCCACTTTCTATGAAACAACCTTAGCAATGCAATCATCTGCGAAGCCTTATTTTAAAAGGAGAGCTCATGACCACACACATTAGAATTAGAATCACAGCTCCATAAACTGCATTACTTCAACATGCAATCAAAACTTAAGTCACATCTTCGGACTAAATACATTTAAGGTTAAAAAATATTCTTACCTGCATTGGGATTTCCATGGGAAGACATTACGACATCAGTGGCACGATCTGAGGAGCAGCCCTCCCCCTGGGGCACAGAGGAAGATGCTGCTAGAAGGGCGAGGACGTGGTTGCTAAGATCAAGAGGCTTTGGGGAGCTGGATACTGCGACTGAAACATTGCCATCTGAGGGACTCTGGTCCACTGATGTAGATTCACTGTTACTACCCATGTCTGTTGCCACAGTGCCTCGTGGTAAGGCTTCCCGCAATGCTGCTTGGGAAACAGAATCGTTTGTAGGAATGTGGTTCTCAGTTTGTTGATGCTTGTCTAAAGGGGTCAGAGATGAATGCTGACATGGGCTGCTGCTGTTATGTAAAGCCAATTGTGAGTTGGGTGGCACTGTAGAAGATGGAGAAGGTCTCTTTAATTTAGTGGACTGAGTATGTGATGGAGACTGTACTGATCCAAATTGACAGGAAGTGGGTGGAGGAGAAAGCTGTTGCGACACCAAGGGTAAAGGATTAGTGTTACAAGTTTGGCCTGGTGAGTGAGTCTGTGGCTGCCTGATGTGAGGGGCAGAAGGAGAGGTTGACAGTCTGGGGCTCTGTTTATTAGGGCGCCCTCCTCCTTCATTAAAAACAGATACTGGATGAGATGGGGTCGAGTTGGATGCTGTGGCCGAGGCTTGCGCATTCTGCACACTGAGGAGGTGTAACAGAGCAGACAGAGGTTGCGTAGGAGGATCCAAGCCAAGAGGTGTAGATGCCAGGCCTGTGGTAAAATCCAGTGCCTCATTGTGCTGAGGAAGCCTTGAAAGGTGTGCTTTCTGTCTGGGAACAGAGAGCCTTGGCATCTGCCCAGGGAGTAGATGATGATGGTTTCCTACTATGACAGCTTTCTGGTTCTGCACAGTTGAGGTAGAGGAGGATGAGGGGAAGGAAGAGGAGGATAGGTTGATTACTGTAGCAGACACCGCTTCCCCTGGTGGCGTCTTCTGTTGACCATGAGAAACCTGATTGGTGTCTCTTAGCATACTAAGGACTGTAGGAGATCGGCGTTGCCTCTTCCTGTGTGACGCATTGCACTCTGCTGTTGGAGGCAGGTGGGGCAAGGAGGAAGCCAGAGACTGGGCAATAGAGTGGGATGGAGGAAAAAGGACGGAGGAGGCTGCTGCAAGGGAGAGTAGGGGAGGCCTGGTAGAAGCAACTGAGGAGGGAGGATGGCTGTTATGTAAAGTGCTGTTTTTTACCTTTGATGACTGTTGCTCCAGAGAAGAGGATAAGCTCACTGGGTTGCTGGCCGCATTTGAGTTCTGGGTTATCTGGGTAGCCAGTTGAGCTTTGGCAGCAGCAGAGAGCAGGCTACTTGCAGGGTAAGAAGCTGGGTGTGGCAGCTTGCTCTGATGGCTGTGGTGGTGGTTCGAAAAGGGCCCCAGAGGTAAAGTAGATGACCCTACAGAGTTAAACCCAAAACTTGGTGACCCTGAGCTGGCCGTAGGACTCATGGTAGACTTGAAGGGTTTAGAAGAGAGAGCATGAGGGTTGCTACTGCTTTGGTTGGTCAGTAAGGAGGGGTTAGTAGGGATAAGGAGGTGGTGGTTATTAGTGCTGCTGTTGCCTGAGTTCCTAAACTGCTCCAAGATGTCTTCCAGCTTGTACTTGGGGAAGTGGGGGCTGGGATTTGGGGAGCTACCGGACATGGGGGAGTGTGGGGAGGAAGAGGTGGATTTCCTCCTCTGAGGCAAGTTACTTCCCATCAGTCCTCCACCTGCTGCTGCTGCTGACCCTCCTATGTGATCAGACAGAGGGGAGGGAGAGCCTGATGGGTGGCAGGAGCGCTGGTGAGGAGAAACACAGTTCATGTTATGCACAGAGGGTGAGATTGAAGGAGAAGGAGATAAGGGGGATCCTCCCACAATCACACCATAAGGGTGATGAGTGTGAGTCTGTGCTCCTCTGCCTCCTCCACCCATAGTCATAGGGGAAAGAGGAGGTGAAGAGAGACGCCCCATCCGAGGAGAAGCCGGAGTTTCTGGGGTTTTGGGTGTTCTTTGACCTTGACTGACATTTTGAGGTGTGGGGGTGCGGGGCGACCTCTGGGGAGCATTGTGAGTAGGGAACGAGGAGCTGGGGGAAGAGCTGGAGGAGGCAGAGATAGGAGGAGGATGGTGAAGCCTTCTCAAAGCTTCTAGGGGATGGTGAGAGTTTGTGCCTGTGTGAAGGACAGGGGAGGAACCATTGTAAGGGTAAATTAACTGGTGCGAGGACTTGGGGCTGGCTGTGGGGTTAGGGTGGAGGTTGCAGATGGGGTGAGGGTGGACAGGATGAAGTTTAGGATGGTAAATTCCATAGTCTTCTTCTTCCCGCCCTAAATGTAGTGGCTTTGGATCCCGGTTGTCCATTTCATTGCTCCCCTCTGAAAGTGAGACACACACAAAAAAACCATTAAGCTACTTTGGTATGCATTCAATTTGAAAGAATCATTTACAATCATAAAATGTTCTTGTACATAGTCTATAGACCTATGAACAAAAATAAAAAGTCATTGCTGACTATTATTAAGGCCATTCTTAGCCCTAAAGAGCTTACTTTGGAAATACTATTAACGTTTTTTGAGCAGGTCATACACTTCGGTGCTGGGTAAGAAATAAGGCTGAAGTCGTCCAAAGAAAAAATCACTGTTTATTTATTTTTGTGTTAGGAATAAGAAGTTTTGTTGAGGCATCGTACCTCAATCAGTGCATCATAAACACCAGGGGTGTCCCAGAATCTCTCTCTCTCTCTCTCTCTCTCTCTCTCTCTCTCTCTCTCTCTCATAGTGTGTAGCAATGTTTCAGAACTTACCTGAGTGATGAAGATTGGCAAAGGGCAGCTGTGAGGCCTGCATACTTCGACACAGGGCAGCCATCGCTACCACTTTCCTGCGGTGGTTACACAATTTGGTCATGTCCTGCTCTGCTTTGCCTAATGGCTGGTTGTGCTGCTCCACCTTCACTCCCACAGTGAAGTTAAAAACCTGAAGGAAAACAGATATAAGCAGATCAGCGCACATGCATACTCAAACAAGGACCATTGCTAAAACAGACAGTGTACAATCTCTGAGAGAGAAAACATTAGCCATGGTTTCACCAGCTGGACATACAGCATACAAAGAGGATAGTCATGTACATTCAGTTTAACATGCTCGGGTTATCACATGACTGTATCTCTTAATATGTATCAAAAGAACTTCTGGTGCAGCAAATAAGTAAAACGCCACTTGAACATCACTAAGATTTGACTCAGAAGCTATTTTAATCCGTTTTTAATTGACAGCAAGCTCTAAGTACCACTTTTAGAAAAACAGTATGAAGCAATCTCCTTGGTGTTCAAGCAAATGACCGGTAAAATTAAACCTACAGTAGTACACTGGTCAGGTGAGTCTGAAAGATGTAAAAGATTCTCACTCAGCACACAGTTAAATATGTGTACAAGATAGGATTAGCACTGTTGAGATTATGTTATTCAGAACTGATATATCCCATTGATTCCAACACTTTTGATATAATTATTTAACAGATTCAACTGCATTTTATATTTCATAAGAGAAGTTGTGCTGTTTGACCACAGACTCCGTATCTATGGAGACAGGGCTTTCAGCGTCATAGCCCCCACCCTCTGGAACACCCTCTATTTAAACATCAACGATGTCCCATGTTTCTACACATTTTCAAAACACGATTGGTTCATCACAGCTTAGAACGTCCCTTAAAATGCGCAAAAAATATCAAGTTATTTTTATTATTATTATTACTGACTGTCATTACCTGGGATTTTTTAAGTTTACGAGGAAGACTTGTTTAACAGCGATGGCATCTACTGATGTATTGAACTGAACTGACACATCACTGGTGTTTAGTATTGGGACAAGAGAATAGATCTTAAAATAGATGCTATCTTGCTTGGCACCTACATGAGATGCAAAAAAGAAGGCCCTGGTAAAGCACTGTATTTCGCAACATGTTGGAGATTTATATAACAAACCAAACATTTTGCAAAACTCGGTACACTTTGCGGGTTGTTCTTCAGGTGACTATTAAACGGATTACAGACAACAGAGAAAAAAAGGTCTTTCTCCTACTGGCAACTGTGTCCCCTAACCCTAACCCTATTAGTATTAGTACTGTGCACGTGTGCAGCTGTTTAAGCTGTTTTACAGCTGGTCCAGCTGTGATCAGCTGCCACCATATTGTAAATATTTCCTAATTTCCTCTTCCCTTCCCTCTCCTCTCCATGAATCCCTGATGAAAGACAGTAAAACACAAGGAAAAGATGCAAGTGGGAGGAATCTGGATGCAATCGACTGAAGTCTTAAATAGCCACAAACTAAACTAACTGACTGACTGTATCAACAAAACTCACAGTGACAGAAACAGAGGGCACTCTGCCCTCGTAATAACTGTCGGTAAGCTAAAGCACTTCTGACAAAAACTTGGTAGCGTTGACTTGTATTCCAACCTCCACTACTTCCATCCCCTCCGATGGAAGATGAGGCTAACGATGCTGCAGAGCATGAGATGGTCTATGGTGTTCTAGGATTTTATAGTTAAGTAATGCCTTGATAGTAAAAAACAGTAACAAATAACTCATACATTTACATCTTCTTCCTATGATACTGGTGTTTTGTCAGTGGTTATTGTGATATAATCTCCTTAATTACTACAACAGCATCACTGTTTCATATTCGCCCACATGTGAGGTGTCATAGTTGAAAGACAGCGGCTAACAGCTTCACTTCTGTCACTACCGTGAGCGTGCTCACTACACTTGGATTGTACTCAAACTCAAAAATGGACTGTAGCGTGGGTTTTCTCTCTCTGTTAAAATGTTTTTAAAACCACTAGCGCCCATCTAAAAGCCAGGCAAAAATCAACATCCATAGAAAAGAAAATCACTCAAGGAGTCGGGAGTCAAGAGTCAAACGCCCAGGATGCACAGCCTTGGCATCCCTACCACTCACACAGAGCACAAAAAATATGAAACTTATAGACCAGCTGTACCTTATGGATGATGAGTGGACATTCAAGACCACATTTGCAGGTGCCATCAGTCAACAGATAGGTCTTGACCTCGTCCAGGGAGGCTAGAGCTGTGCCACTAGGACTGAAGATAGAAAGCAGGGACAAATTAACTCAGACTCATAGCAAACTGACAGGATGTTAACTCAGAAGAAAACCAAGGTCATTGTTGTAAAGATTAACACACCTTTAATTCTGTTTTTTAATAGATCATTTAACAATGTCAACAACAGATTCGTTTGCACATATCCAGAATCACGAGCATACATTAACTGTGGTAAGATTATTTTTTTTAAATGCTGGTGAACATGAGTGACTCAAGTGATTACCAGTCTAGCTTATATCTTATAAATAACAAGGTGCATTTACATTGTATTATCTAGCTAATTTATTCTTATAAGCAATGAAACCTGTCACCATTGAACAACTTTTAATCAAATATTTGAGAACGATGAACACATTAATCCTAGAAGTTCCATTCTGTTTAATTGCTCTTTGTGTTATTTAAATACAGCTGCCTCAAAATTATCGAAATTACCCTATTGCTCTGTAGAAAAACTAAAAAGAACAAAATCGAAAATATGCATCTCTAGCTAATTTGTTTAAACATAATCACAGAAGGTAAATGCATCTATCTGGCTAGAAGTCTATAGATATGTTCACGAAAACAACATTCTCATCTCTTATATAATTAAGCTCATACACATTACTTCAAGAGAAATAAAGATTATAATCATATGCCTTAGGTTCAAAAGCATTTGTCTAAATTTCAATAAGGAACAATTAGCCTGCATATTATGCTTTCTGTTAAACTAAACCAACCCACCTGACGTAGATCACCTGACCACCATCCACTCTCCTCTGCCAGCCGATGGGGACTTGTATTGCAGTGGTGTGGACCCCATCCTTGTCCCCACTTACAGTCTCACTGCCTCCCATCATTTTTTTGCTGTGGCCTGCCAGCACCTTGAAAAAGCAGTTTGGTGTTATATGTCTGGAATGTTAGTGGTCTGGCTTTTAATTTTTACATTTTCTGAAGCGGTTTCTTTTGTTCTTTTTCAATGTTGTGAACAGCACTAAAGATATTCAGCAGTACATTTTTATCAGCTGTTTAGTCATTTTTGTAAATGTACATGCAACTGCAGTTTCTCTTGCCTCACTAAGTAAGTAAACACAAGCATGCATAAAATAGATGAGCATAGGTGTCAGAAGTGAAGTCATTGGGGGTATTAATACTATTAAAGCAACCTGCATTCCACATATGTTTGCCATATATATGTGATTTACACAATACTTAATGTCAAGTGCAAACTTCAAATATGTAAAATGCAAGCTTAACAAAACAATACATGCACTAACAGTGGTTTACTAAATGTAATTAACCATTTAAAAATGTCAATTTCTGAGACCATACTTCCCAGCTGCCTTCTAACCCCCTGGAATCTCAAGTGTCCAGCATGACCTGTCATTATATTTGTTCTCCTGGCAGTTCAAACAAATGCAGAAAGTTGTCTCTAATATGTAATCCCAAAATAAGATATTTACTTTCACCAATAAATCTGTCCAGAAAAGAAAAAAACAGTGTTTATTCAAATTAGAGTAATTAAAAAGCATACCTTGTCATCTTTAATAAGCCAAGATCTGTTTTGGCTAAGGTATCCACTGTTCAATGTACATGCTGGTGGGTTAGAAGCGCACAGACTGCCAGCTAAACCTGACTTGATGCCGAAACACCAGGACTTTCCTCAGCTCAACTAAGAGGTTGTCTCCTGCAGATGTACCGATTAGCTCACATCAGAATGTGGTCTTTGATGACGATGGAGAGCCTAGAAAGAAAGGTGGAGGTGGATTATGTAATATGCCAATGAGAACCAGAGCAAATAACAGATGTACTGTACCATTTCCTGAAATCAATTCAATCCAAGCGTTCTCAAAATTGGATAGACGTTACATCTAATGCAGTACTTTGTCAAATAGAAAACAACTTCAGAGCAAGCTGTGGCTACTCTGAAGTGGGTGGGTGTGTTTGTATAGGCCCGTGGTTTACTGGATGTTTAGCTACACTTTTAGCAGATGCGTTTCCAACAAGCAACTTAAGTAACAATCTGGCATTCTGAAGGATTCTTGGAATAAAATCTTGATGGTATTCGTAGCATACCATATGCATCAAGATCTCTAGTTTGCAGGGATGGAGCAATATCTCACTACCTTCACGAATGATACGAGGCAGGCTAGCAGCTAGGCTACTAGCTAAGCTAACAAGCTACCCTACTTTGTAGTATGTTGGCGTGACAGCTGTCAGGCGCACAAAACACTCCGATGCAAAACTCTCGCATGTATGTTACGGTAACAAGAAATGACCAAAGCATTATACTGCTTAGCAACAAACACTGAAAACACGGGATTACACTTACTTATTGATAGCCGTTAGCTAATGTATAATTCGCATAACCTATGAACCTTTCTCTGCTTCAAGCTCTCTGTGTTGGCCAAGTTTTGGAGTCTTCGTCTCTCTAGCTCGCGGGAGAATCAAGTCTTAGCTGGCTAGCTAACGGAATAGCCAGATAATGTTTTGAAGACGGCTGATACTTTAATAAATAACCTTAAAATAAACTATTTCAGCATTATAACCACTTAAAATTGCTACCAATTAGCTCTGGGCGTTTATGCAATGTCTGCCATTCCGACTTAAAAACAAAGGGCAATAACGCTTCATCTTACTGCGCCTGGGATCTGAGGCTAACACTACCAGCTAGGCTAGCAGAGCTGAGTGACTTAAAATGTACTTGATTATGGAGTGTCCCAGCAAGACTGAAGGATGTCCCGCTCCTGGTGCTCACTTATCCAGCCGTTGTTTTGCTCTTTGCTGTGCTAAACCATCTGGTATTCAAATGTATTCCGACTACCATCACGACCCATGTAATCCCAAATTCACAGTTTCCCACTGTTTTTTTTTCTTACAGATTCCGAGCAAAAAAAAGAATGGAGTTTTCAGTTGGGCATGCGCAGTCGGTGCTTGGGGAGTATTGTACCCAACATGCAACGGGACCTTTGTAGTGTTCCAGACAGACATCAGTGCGGAGCTCCTTGATAGAGGACATGATAATGACAGAATAACAGGCCCGGGATATGTATGCAAGAAAAGATTCATAGCACCCGTCTACACCGTTACACACTATTTTCAAAGATAGCACAGCAATAATACTCTGACATTACATCAAACGGGATATAACACATATATATATATTAATGTGTCAGTTTATTAATGTGCAGTTTAATTTCCAAATTATTTTTCCATAAATGCCTTAATACTACAATATATAGCCTAGGCCTACAGAATGTAATGTAAATTACATTCTATTTAATTGTTGCATGTTTGGGGTCTTTTAGGCTATCAACATAACAATAATAGACCCTTATTTATATAAATAATAAATCCTTATATGAAGCAAAAAAAATGCCCAGACTTTTTTTTTTTTTTACTATATTTGGGCCTTATAAGGTTACCTTAACTGAATTTCTAATTTTTAGCTAATTCATACACAATGAGTGGTACAAAAGAGCCATGAGAAAAATAACTATAAATCTGGTTTCAAGCGGCCCACTTGTCCATCTTCTTAACCACTGGGATCTCTGTGACATAATCAAAAATTCTGTCATCTGACCACTGCATAACATAAGAATATACAAGCTATTTTCACATTCTGGAAAAAATAGTATTTAGGATTTCAAGAGAAGAAACTACAGGAAGTGGGGGGAAAAGACTGGCACTCAGCTTAAAGTTGATCTGTTAATTCACTCAATTACATATTCAATAACATTTTTAAGATTTAATATGAAGATATAAATGCGGTTTGCAAATAAGATTTTAAGACATTGGTCTTAAAAAGTATCACAAGGCATGTTGAAAAAGTGTACAATATTTATATTTGATTTAAATCTTCATAACATTTACTTAGTTTTTGAACTGTAGCTAAAGGTTTGCCCACAATGTAGGCACCAACAGCAACAATCTATTACTGCAATTAATAGTGCACTTTTTGCATTTTAAGACAAAATGTTGATATAAAAGGTAAGGCAGCCTTTTTTTAAAAATGGTTTAAAAAAAAAAAAAAAAAAGGTAAAGTAAGCAGGATGAATAGCTGTGTGTTTCTGTTGTCTGTGAACAAGGCGGAGGGATAGAGGTGCTTATATGTGTGACAGGAGTATCTGATTTCCCCTGGTCATCAGTGTTGCTCAGTCTGAGGTCCCCAGCTGTCCAAAACAGTCAGCTTGACACATGAGTGCTTAGTTTAGCACACATACAAACACACAAATACATACACACACAGAATCATAGATTAGAGCGCAAATACAGACATATGCTCACTCTGAGCACTTTGGAAATCACCTCAAGAAAATTTAAAATAAATTGTGAAAGAGCACCGCAATTGACACAGAAACCTGGGGGCCTGAAGTGAGGAAGCAGCTTGGTCGGCTGGTTTGTTGGACTCAGATCTGGAAGGTGTACAACGCTCCAGTGATCGTCATCAGGTGAAGGACACATTCACACAGAGATTTACGCACACTGGATGTTGTTTTCTTTTCTCTAAACTGCATGTTTTGCAAGACTGCAAGAGGTAGGTGTAAGCTCAAAGTGTGAGTTTGGAAAGTTAAAAGCCTTGAGTTATTTCCCTGTTGTGTGAAAATGTGTTGGCATGATACAAAGTGCATGAATGTCGGTTATGCAATTAGAAAATCACACAAAAAACTTTGAGAATTGAGAATTTTTCTTTAATTCAACAAAAAACTGATTTCTCATGCTCATATACTTTCTAGAATCTTGCTCATCTTTTTCTAACCGGCAGTGGCATCCAAATTTAACTGTGATGAGATTGTATTTCACAACCCTAGAATAGTGTGGCTCAAGTTTAAGCTTACAGTATGCAAGTTTGTGAATGTATGCATACAGACACAATAATACATTATTTACTGTACATGTGTGCGAGCGTGTGTGTTTGTGTCCTATGCAATTCTGTTGTGTAGATTTTTTTAATCATTATCCAAGGATAAATGATGTGAAAACATTGAGCCAAAGATGCCAAAAAAACAAGATGCAATGAAGGCGACCATACAAACATTGGTAGAATAGTGTCTAATTGTGTTTCAATGAGGACTTAGAAATACACATATGGCTTGTGGTGGTTGTTTTATTTGGTTATTTCATTTGTTTGTCATTTTTTATTAAGATTTAAGAGTAACAAGACAAAGGTTAAATTCTTAAAGAAATGCTTTCTCCATATTATGTAATCAGGACAAATTCAAATAACCTACAGTATTTACCTAAAACATTTTTTTAATCTCTTTCATTCCAAAATACAAAATTAAATCTATTTTGAATTTAACATATAATGACTTTTATACATATACATAATCTCTGTAGGTGGGGCAGTACTGACAGCATCAACCAAACAACATGGACCAGTGAGTATATTTTATGAAATCTGCTCAGTGACCTCTTTAAAAGCATGCTTGTAAGGCCAACCCATGAGGTTTTCATGTATAACTGAGTCATGAACACTTTTCATTTTCATCTGTCCTGTTGACGTATTTCATGTTGACTCACCAGCAGTACAAAGATTAGAAACATTAGAAACAAGGATCAACTCTAAGGAAAGGCAGACCTTTCGTCTGAGAGTAAACATATTTAGCTGAAGGATTTGTTCTTGCTCTCTTTATGTTTCTTTGTCTCTGTGTGTCAGGGAGGATGACAAAAACTCTGTGGATATCCATGACAACCCTCCAGCTCCTGACAACTTTGTGAGAGAGGAGGGAGACACTGTGAGTGACAGGACCCCGTAAAGCCCCTAATGGTGGCAGTGCCATTCCAGCACAGTTAAAAATAGCCACCAGCTGGGATAGGAACGCAGTGCAGCGTCATTTGAGGAAATTATGAGCCTTGACCTCAGTGTTTTTGTCTTTTATCCCCCTTACAAGAGTCACACTGCTGGCTTATGTGGGAACATCACTTCAGGTTTAACACAATGACTTGTGATTCGAAAAAGAAGGAGATGAAGCTGAACAATAAAATGCAAACCTTGCCAAACATCAGCTGCATAAAAGACTGAATGCATACATTCATAGAATACACTGCAAATTTGGGGTTGAACATAATTTTAAAAATGGCAGTCTTCAATGTTGTATAGTATGAAGTGCTACCAAATCAAAATGTACATGGAAACAGAAATTATATCAACTCTAGATTGGTCAATAGATACGGTATAGGTCTATAATTTCTTTTCAGTCCAACTACAAATAATACAAAAAATAAGTCATGATTAAAAGACTTAAAGGTGGAAAAGTTGGAAACACTTTAGAACAAGACAACTTCTCCAACATCACTGCATACAAACCTGACACTTAATAACTGCCCCCTTCTGAAAACCACTTTAAGTTATTAGCTATCATAGGGCAATATTTCTACGTTATCCTCACACTCAATTATCATTATTATTCTCATACATAGAACATAGTCTATGTTATCATGTTCTTTCCCCCATGCAGACAATGCTTCACCTGAAAGTTCAGAACAATGCCAGCGTGTTGATTTTCTTATGATGAATGTGCCCTTTTCTGTGTTCAGGTCTATTTCATATATGAGGAGGAGGTGGAGGTGGAGGAGAAGGAACCCGAACCTCCACCGCCTATTGTCCGGATCAACGACAAACCGCACAAGTTCAAGGACCACTACTGCAAGAAACCCAAGTTCTGTGACGTCTGTGCTCGCATGATAGTCTGTATGTGGTAAAAAAAAAAAAAAAAGAAGACACACATAACCATCAATAAAATGATATTAGAAAACACAGTAAACGTAATGTTTTTCTTAAGATGATGCTTTAATTCGGGTTTAGACTGACCCTAATGGCTGTTCCTTGTTTATTTTCCAGTGAACAACAAGTTTGCTCTAAGATGCAAAAACTGCAAGACCAACATCCACCACTCATGTCAGTCCTACGTCGAGTTCCAAAAATGTTTTGGAAAAATTGTGAGTCATGTTGCTTAAAAAAAAAAAAAAAAAATTAAAGGGACAACACATAGCCTCAAATAGCACACACACACACCCTTTACAATCTATATAACCTTCTTTTTAATATATCTCACAAGTTACCTTGAATGCTTATTCAATTTTAACCCTAGAATTGTTAACATTATTTATTGCTAATATGTCCTGCATCATTTGTAATGGCTTGCAAGCTTCACACACTCAGGACTCTTTGATTGCACTTCAGATGTTGATATGTGGTACGTGTGATTGTGTGTGTGTGTGGTTTCTTTCATGTGAGCTGTGTGCGCATTAATGCTTTTGTACACGACTGAAGTTCCTAAGGGATAAATCAAGTTATTTGAATTGAATTCTACTGTCATACAGTGTCAAAATCAACAACATACTTTATGTACAGTACAGTAGGAACACTGAAATGTATATTCACATCCCTCGTCATCTCCTGAGGAGAAAATAAATACAGTGATTGTAAATATTGAGATCTAATATGTTGTTTCCTGTAGCCACCTGGCTTCAGAAGGGCCTACAGCTCCCCCTTATACAGCAGTGACCAACCAGATCAAAGTGAGTCCAAAGAGAGATAATATGTCTCGTGTTTTTATAAACTTCTTAACTCTTGTATTTATCAATGTGTTGTCCATGAAAGATGCTATGTTCTCCAAAAACTCTGTCTGACTTCTCTGTTCTTAACTAGACAACCCAAACAGGAACGACCCCGTCTTTGACACCCTGCGTGTCGGCGTCATCATGGCAAATAAGGAGCGTAAAAAGAATGAAAATGACAAGAAAAATGTGAGTGTATGATACATCTGTAACCAAACTGTAAACCTTCAATCCTCTAAAAGAAATAAATTTTTTAGTGTCTTTCATTTGATACATTTTCACAACACTGGAATAGAAAAGTGTTTGAGCACCAATACAGACGTCGTTAAAATGCACAAAAAGATGAAAGATATGAAATGATATTTACTTCTGATGAAAATTGTCTTTCCTCTAGATGATGATGATGATGGAGGAAGAAGAAGAGGAAAGCCAACAGCCAAAAGAGAGCGAAGAGGGAGGAGAAGGTACTAAGAACATTTGTGTAGTGGTTAAGGCGTTCTCTGTGATGGGAACTACACAAATGTTGTAAAAGAAAACAACTTATTCATATTTCTATACTCAACATGGAAGGACAGAAAAAAAGGAGAGCCTAAACACAAAGCAAAAATATTTAATAAACAATGCTACAAAACTAAAATGTTGGGGATAAAGCAAAATGACTCATCATGCATTATTACGCCATGAATTTAAATTCACCCAAAGAAAATCATTTGATGATGACTCCAATGTTGACACAGGGAAGCCTGATGATAAAAAGGAGAAAGGAGGAGACAAAGCAGACGACAAGGTAAGAAAAAGTAAAAAAAACATTTCAGGTTGGCTTTGAATCAGCTATTTATAAGAACAGCTTTTTTTTCCAATCACTGTAACGCTGTATGTTTATGTAGAATCTCTGCTGTTTGTCTACAGAGTAAGGGAACATTCGCCCATTCCCACTTTTTCCTGGCCCTCTATCGCTTCAAGGCCATCGAGAAAGACGACCTCGACTTCCAGTAAGTTTAAAAGAAGCGAATAATTCCCAACATACAACACTCTTTATATATTCTTTAATCTGTCTATGTGAACCCATTTTACCTTTCATTGAGTTAAAAACATCCCTTTTTCAAATAGTTGTTTCACAAAAAAGAAGTGACAAGGGACACTTTTGTGTGTTTGTGTATTAGTCCTGGTGATCGGATCACTGTACTGGATGACTCCAATGAAGAGTGGTGGAGGGTGAGATGACTTTATAATTTCTTGATTCTTTATGGTTTATTTGATCATTTGATTGTGCTGTTCTGTTCGTGGTAAAGCAGATGCAACTGTTTCCACTTTTTATTCGTCTTAAGTTTCTGCAGAGAATAAACTTAATTGATCTTCCATTTTTTTAGGGAAAGATGGGGGAGAAGACAGGCTACTTCCCGACCAATTACCTCATAAAGGTGCGCGCATCCGAAAGAGTTTTTAAGGTGACACGCTCGTTTGTCGGGAACAGAGAAATGGGACAAATCACACTGAAGAAAGACCAGGTAGTTACACTATTGTGTTCTTGTAATTTAGCAACACACACAGTCTCTGAGGTTACATTTTTCAAAAGGTTTTCATGAGTTTGTGTTATTGTTGCCCATTTGTTACTTACAACCCAGAAAAAAACTACGGTAATTTTTAATGTCTGGGTACAGTTCTTATTGTATTGTATGTTATGTTGTGTTACTGTCGCTGTGTTTTCAGATTGTGGTGAAAAAAGGAGATGAGAAAGGTGGCTACTTGAAGGTCAGCACTGGACGCAAGCTGGGCTACTTCCCTGCTGATCTGCTGGAGGAGATCACTGTGACGTAAAAAAAAAACAAAAAAAACAAAAACAAAAGGAAGTTAAAGAGCCTGCAGCACATTGAAATGTCATATATCCCGAACATTCAGCAGTTTTCTTTATTGGTGTAATATCTACTTTTGCTCTTATTGTGAGGAATGATTAATGACACAAATTAAGGATTTCATGGTCTGAAAAGCCATTTCATGAATACATAGATTCATGCTGATAAGGGACAATCAGATCATGTCATGGCTCTTTTGTGTAAAGGAACAGCAATCCTCAGATGCTTTGTCTGCTGATCACAGCATTGATGGGATGTATTACTAAATGTATTAATTGATACGACAGGATAAAATGAACAATGTCTGGCCTCAAGCTATTAGATTTTAGAGTTTTTAGATTAAAAAAGTTTTTATAACAAGTAATCAAGGGGAGATTAATGGTGATGGCACTTCGGAATGGGAATGAATGTATTGTTAAATCAAAATGAAAACATTCAAAATTATAAAAGTTCAGTTTTCTTTAAGTTATATTGATATGAATAAAGATATTTTACTCCCATTTACCCTAATTGTTAATAAAAATGGCGCTGCTATTGCTACAATCTTTGAAAAGGTATTTTGGTCTTCTTTCATTTGTTCAAAAAAAGTTTAGTATTGTATGATGCTTATTGTCAAATAAATATGTGGTGACTTTTTTGCATTCAAATGGTTCTTAGTCTTTCATATTTTTAAAAATAGATTATTCAAAGCTAACATAGCATGTGCTATAAGTAAATTGTGGTTAATTAAAGTAGGACTTTCGCTTACATTACTGTAATTGAATATGTGTACTACTTTTGAGTATTTTTTGAGTAGTTTTAAGATCACAATTTAGTCTAAAGTCAGTCATTTATCAATCTGTGGGTCACATAGTCTTTAAGAAAAGACCAGACTTGGAAAGAGTACAAGATTATTGTACCAAAGTGAAAGTACAGCTACTTTGATTTAGTTTAAATAAAGTAAAAAAAAATTACTACTATTTTTTTTTCACTCAGTAATTGATGCTATTTAAAATGTAGAAAAGTAGAAACACCGCCCCCAAAATGTACAGAAGTTAAAGTAAAATGTGCCTGGAGTTCTAGGGTGGCCTATAGTTTTCTATAAGAGGGGTGGACGTTTAATGGCCAAGAAGGCTCCAAGTGACTTAAGACTGGTGAAAAAGGTCTTGAATTCCGGTGAACTGGTAGGTTGGCTGGGATTTCCGTAGCTATGAAAGCCTCGTCTAATGATGTGTTTGTAATGGCTACGGTGGCGCATAACAGTAACATGTGTCCTACATGTTGTCCACTGCTCTTTATTGCAATCACCATGGTCAAAACGTCATCTCAAGTCCGCTTTTCTCAACACTCGTCATTAGCTGCTGACTGAACGAAGGCGGCGATTCAGATCTGTATCAGTGACACACCAATACAATACATGTATGAACGAAAAACGAAGGCTAGTCTTCTGAGAGATTGAACAGTTTAACGCCTGAATTAAGATACACTTTTTTTCTACCATGTTTTTTCTTCTGCTTCACGTCTCCCGTTTTTCTTAATTCTTCCTCTTTGGTTTAGCCTATAGTGTGTCTCCTTTCTTTGCCAAGATATGACTGCTTTTGTATTTAAAAGAAATGGCAAGCCCTTTTTTCACTATCCAACTTTTCCCGTGTTAAAATGAACCGACTTTCAGTTGGGCTACTTCTTGTTTGTCCTCTTCTTCTTCTGCGTTATATTTTCTGGTTGTGTCAAAAAAGTGCATTACCGCCACCAACTGGTATGGAGTAGAGTGGATCGGACATTATAAAAGTAAAAGTATTATTATTAAAGTTTGCCTTAAAAGATAATAATAACAAACAAATTTGAGACATAAAAAACAAAAGTACTAGTCTATAGAATTTCTTTCATGAATGTCACGTACATCCAGTTTCATCTTAATTTATTTAAGTCCCAGTGTCAATTGTCCTGCACTAGTTTGGCTTGTTGTGTGTTAATGCCCCCTACTGGCAACATGTCATGTACAGCTTTTCAACTTGTATCCTATTTTGATATCCCAATTTTAAGGTTACAAATGTAAAACATGTAATTAAATGAATACAATTAAATAAAACTATCAGGAATCTGCAGCTGTGTCATTTCATAAAGTACAGACTATAATCTAAGAAAACAATGTCAAAAGCAGGTAGGTATAGCCAACTGTTAATATCAATTTACATATTTGAATTACTTTCAGATAACCTGATACAATCGTCCCTATGTCATGTTTTCAAAACATACCCTAAGTTTTCAAAATAATTAATATTTATGTGTGTAGCATGACATTCACCAACGACTTAACAAATCTAAAAATAGCTGAAATGGTAGGCAATTAACTCAGAAAAACACGAAATTTTAAGAGTGACACTATTTGTATTTGCAGTGGTTTGTTAGCTTGAAATTCCACTGATAAGCAGAAGCAGTGGCAGAATCTCACCAGACTTGTCAGTGATTTTTACATTTCCCAGAGAGAGCCCTTGTCATTTTGTCAGCCTCCCCGTGGCTAAAGTATGCGGGAACGGCGGGGAGGGCTGTCAAACCGTGGCCGCCTGAGAGCCCTTTCCCCGGGTTGATGAGTCATTATAAGGGCCGACCAGGTGGTGAAAATGAGTGTGTGTGTGTGTGTGTGTGTGTGTGTGTGTGTGTGTGTGTGTGTGTGTGCGTGCGTGCGTGTGTGCGCGCGCGCGCGTTCGGATTTGTGTGCGCGCGCGCGCGCAGGGTGTTGAGGGGTAGAGAGAGTAAGAAGAAATAGAGAGAGCGCGTGGAGGTGTGGGGTGTGAGGGAAGAGGAGAGGAGCAGTGAGCTGAGTAGTCACTTTATTTGAAGTGAGTGTAAGCTTTTACTCAGTAAACAACCTTAATAACTCAGTCAGAGAGACCGTCTGAAAAAACACAAAATTATCTTGTTGTCTGGATGGAAAAACACTTCAACCGTTGCAGCAAAATGAGGAGGCTTTGTTTGAACTTTGCCATCACCTTTCTGTGGCTTCTCCTTTCAGCGGTGAGTAGTGAAACGAGGCTCTTTGGTATGCTTTTATTGACGCTAGGTGTTATATGATCATCATTTTGCTATATTATCACTTAATAGTGGTTTAGGTAAGATGGTATAGGTAAATTAATATAGTAACATAGTTTGCCAGGTATTTTTTTCTTTCTAAAGAGCAATACACTCTTTCTGTTGACTTCTTTTTCAAGATTGTTAACCCATGCCTGCCTATAGGACTTGATTTGGTCTCAACTGATTAGAGTGTTAGCTTGGACTTTCATAACTTAGAAGTGTTCAGTTGAAAAGTTTGAGACCTGCTGTGTTATTTAATAAAATACATTTGCACTCTTTCTGAAGTTTCTAAATTCAGAAATATATCGTATCATGTGAGACTATTCTGGGACTTGATTGAAGATGAATTGTTCCAGTCTTTTGCTCTATTTTGATTCTGAGCTGCATAATTATGATTTAATAAGCTGTGCTGTCATTAATCTGACTATCTGATTGTAATTTAACAATGAAGTTGTCAGAAAAAAATCAAATTTTGTGCCATGTTTCTTGGACTAAATGATTGTGCAGTCTTTGAAAATTTGAAAAAAGTTTTATCAACCCAGTGCTTAAGAAACATTGTCTGTGTCTTTGTTTTTTGTTTTTATAGGCCTAATGAAAAACAAACACATAAAGGACATGTTTTAGGCAAAAGCATGGATTTTTTTCACTGTCCTTAAAACTGCTGCTCTCAGTTTTCTCATTTTTTTAGCCTCTGCAGGTGTTTTTGCACAGGTGTTGTGCTTGCATCCACTCCACCGCTATTACTCAGTTGCAGTTTCTGTGCTGGCATCTTGACACAGAGCCAATGACACGGCTGTCACACAGTGGGCTCCAATTAGTGTAGGTGAGAACAGCACATAGCTCAAGATTTAGGCTTGTAAGTACAGGCACAGCTGAATCTTTCTTGGTTATTGCAGAAGGCAGAGATTGGCACACAGGGCGGGGGTGGTTCGGGGTGATGTGAATCCCACTTGTTGAGAAATAATTGTATTGTGGGTGCTGTTTATCCAGAAACCTAGAAGAGAGGAAGTCTTAGCTCAATCTATCTTCGACACATTACGATGAAAATAGAATTTAAGTGCACAGAACGTATTGCCAAAGTCATGTCCCAATTGTCTAGAGGCATAGATAACTTGACCTGCCATCCAAATAAATGGAAGTGTTATTAAGGAGAAATAAAGTCTTGACAGCTGGATCAATTAGTTTTGACCTTAACTCAGTGATTTTTGTTGGTATTTAATGACTGTGTCTGTGCACTTGATATATCAAACATATTACAGTGCTACATGTTAACTTTGCAGTGAATCTCAGAGACTTTGGTCAAACAAAACTTTGCCTCACTAATGTCTGGATTGAACATTTTTAACAACTCAACAGCAGAGGCTGTCTGGCTTTTAACAAACAGCTCTGTCCATCTGAACATGCGCTGGATTTCCATAGTCTCACAAACTTTATTTTTTTGCAGCAGAGAAAGACATTCAGGAAGGTTTGACTAATGCTTTGTGTGTGGTGAACTCTCTTCTGTGGGAGCTCTGGGGGTGGCAGTATAGCTCATTCTGGCCAGTCCAAGTCCTGTTGCGGACCAAATATGGAAATTTGGCTTGTAGTTCTAGAGGTGTCAGTTCCCTTTCTGAGCATTCGAGAGGGTCCCCTTGAGCAAGGCACTAAATCCAAACTGCTCAGGCACTGTTACGGGTGACGCCCCTGAGCTGTTACTCTGACATCTCTGCATGCCCATGTGTGTTTCAGCCTATGTGTGTAGCAGCATATCTGAAAAACAGAGAGAAAAAATGTAATTACTCATCAACATTAAAAAGGTACGTCTTCTTCGTCTTTATGGAAAACTATTGTTACCAAAATGACAAAAATCCAAATGTACTCATCAAAATCTAATATACTAAAAATGGTGTACTTTTTTGGATCATATTCGATAGTTTCTTTCTCTATACTAGCATTTTGTGGCAGAATCCACGCTAATTTCTTGGCAGATTATAGTGAGTTTAATGTTGTAGAAGGAGGTTGCCGGTGTCCGAGTGGTTAGGGAGTGCACCCCATGTACAGAGGCTGTAGTAATCGAAGCAGGTGGCCAACAATAAAATATTATATAGGGGTGTTTGTGTGTATGGGGGGCAGCAGTAGCTCAGTCTGTAGGAACTTGGGTTGGAAACTGGAGGGTTGCCTGTTCAAGTCCCTGTGCAGGCTGAAATATGGAAGCTTGTCTGGTAGCTGGAGAGCACAATGGGATATATAATGAGATGGCAACAAGGAGAAAGGGGAAAATAAAGGGGTCTGTAATCCGATGAGCAGAGCTGTCTTGAGAGATGCTGCAAACAAGTGATTTTTGGTGGTTTCTGTCCATGTGCTCTGCCTTATTGATCTTGTGCAGTATCTTCTTTAACGGTGGCTTGTGCTTGACCATATATGCTTCTCTCTTACAACCATCTTGATTAACAGTCCAAACATTCAGTCTGTTATCAAGGTCGCATCCAAAGAGTTTCAACCAGGGAGCCAAAGAGAATGTACAGTCTAATTAAAATGTGGCAATGTGCTAATGGCAATGTGAATGTAAGTGTATGTATGTGTGTGTGTGTGTGTGTGTGTGTGTGTGTGTGTGTGTGTGTGTGTGTGTGTGTGTGTGTGTGTGTGTGTGTGTGTGTGTGCGTGTGTGTGTGTGTGTGCGTGTGGGTGTGTGTGCGTGTGGGTGTGTGTGTGTGGGTGTGTGTGTGTGCGTGTGGGTGTGTCTTTGCCTCAAGGAGCTGACCTATTGATCACAGTCATTCACGTCCTTCTCATTCAGAGGACCTGACACAACAAAGCATGATTATTTTAATCGATTATCTGCTACCTTATTATTTAGCTACAGTGGAACTGTCCTTCATTTACAGCCGTCCTGCTGAGCTCAAGGCCTCTCTTCTTTCTCGTTCAACTTTTACTGTTCATCCCTGCACAAAATAAACCCTGTGTTTAGGGCAGTTGTTGATTTTTGTTCTCCTAATTAATGTATACTATCTACAAGTGGTAAAATACCTCTAATGGATGTTCAACAATATATAAATACAACTCTACGTTGCTCTTATGGTTTCAAATTAAACCTGGTCTGTTTTTGAGGTACGTGCATGAAATTCCTGACGAAGCTTAAAAACTGTCAAACACTTTATTATGTGCCATTAAGCCAATTTTGATTCAGAAGAAATGAAAGAAGATGAAAATGTATCACAGAGAGACAACTTCCTCAAAGAGAAGTTGTAGATGTATGTATACTGGGCATTCCACAAAGCATGGACTTTGTGGATTTATTCAAAGCATATGGTACATTTTTCACTTTATTATGTTCTTGAAAGTTCCACCCAAAATAAATAACCTGATAACAATGTTAATGAGCTGATATGGGATTTATTTTGGTTGAATAGAGCTTTAATTCAAGCAACAAGACCTTAAGACTGAACCTTCAAGTTCATTATTCAGCCTTTACAAATCAAACCCAAAGTGCTCTCAAATAACAAATATAACTGCTTGGGAATTTTCAGGATTATTTTAGCCTGATAACAGCCTGCTGGCCTCATTAGTTGAGCCATATTTGAAAGTTAAAACCCTGATTTTAACCAATTTCACACTGAGAAATCAGCATCATTTTTAAAACAACTGACATTTATAGAAATGTGTTAATGGAACTTACAGATATGAACATCAAAAAGCTAATTAACTTACCTTTAATAGAACAGTTTTCTATTTTTTTTGAAAGGACTAATTTTTTGGTTGAAATGTTCTACAAGTGGTGAGCCCATAGCCTGGTGTTTGGTCCCCACGCCACATGTGTGGTCCTTTGAGCTGGCGGCCAAGATTTGAGTCCGACCTGTGTCTCCTTTGTAATGTCATTCCCCACTCTCTCTCTCTCTCTCTCTCTCCGCGAGTTCTGACTCTGTCCTATCGCTAAATAAAGGCTTAACTACCAAAAATAAAAAAATTATAAAAATGGATTTCATGATTTTAATGGAAGTTTGTATCACTACAAAGCATTATCATTTTATTTAGGTAACACCACAAAGAAGTTATGTAATCCCTTTTCTATGTAAATGAGGCCCTTTAGATTTTAAATAATACCAAATTTACTTTTCTTATTTTTTGGCCTACAGGTCCAAGAAACAGCTGAGCCCTTGAATATTCAGAGCCAGCAATGGATGGAGGAGGAAGGAGGAAGAGGAGACACTGAGGGAGCTGCTTTGAAGGTTAAACACATTTCCAAAGACCTACAGATTATCTCCACCAAACACAAAACACCTGCTTATGGTTCCCTCGGCCCATACGGGTGGCCTCAGAACTTCTCCCAAGCCCTGGATCAGTATCTGTACCGCACCCCTTCCAAACCTCCAGCAAAAACTTCCACAAAGGCCAAGAAGATTCTTGGTTGGGGGGATTTTTACTTCAATGTGAAAACGGTGAAGTTCAGCCTCCTGGTGACTGGGAAAATTGTTGATCACATCAACGGCACGTTCAGCGTCTACTTCCGCCACAACTCCACCAGTCTGGGGAACATATCCGTCAGCATCGTACCACCATCCAAAGTTGTAGGATGGGAGTTTTTGGAATCCGAGGTCCAGGGCCTTCACATGAAAAACGCAGTCCTGGTTCCGGATATTACTTCCCAGTTCCAGAGCCAACCTCAGTCCTCCAGCTCGACCCCACCTGAGCAACAGAGGCAGCAGCAGGATGTGATGATAGTGACCGAACTCAACTGTCGGATAGATTACCAGAGAACCAACCGGTCTAAGAAGACCAAGCCCTGCATGTATGACCCCGGGCAGACCTGCTACTCAGAAAACACCCAATCCCAGGCAGCCTGGATCTGTGCTAAACCCTTCAAGGTTATCTGCATCTTCATCGCTTTCACCGGCACCGATTACAGGCTGGTGCAGAAAGTCTGTCCGGACTACAACTTTCAGAGCGAGCAGAATCAGCAGCACTTTGGATGACACTGAGATTCAAAGTCTAAGACATCTTTTCATACATCCTTTAAAATCATGTTTTCAGTTTTACAAAGGAGAGATTGACTGCTTTTATAAGCCTTAACAGAAAAACCCACCTTTGCAATATGTCTATGAGTGCAGCATTAGCCTGGTATTGTTAGTGTGTTAATAGTAGCTTCTGTTTATAAGGAATTTTAAACAGTAACTTTGTATTGTCTGAAACTACTCACATCTACAGAGAGCTCCATGTTGACTTTTGAAAGAGAAGCGCCTTGATCCATTGTTTCACTTTAGTGTAGTGTTGTAAGAATTATCCCTCTCTGAAACGGCTTCCATAAAAAGGAAGATTTGATATCCACCATCTGAATGTGATGTCTTAGCTCGTTCATTTTACAAAATACTTAAATCTTTGCATCTTTTTTTACTATAAAATGAATTCCTACTGGTTTATATTATAGTAACTATGATTAATAAGATACTACGTCTCAAAGACTGACACAAAGCCAGCTGAAACAGGTGATTATTGATGTAGTCACTTTTATCAGTTGCACAAAGTAGGCATGTCCTTGGCTTCCCTCCAGAACTGATTTTACATTCACCCTTTGCACCTTGAAAAGTTTTCTGTTTTCCCAGCCCTCAGCTGTCACAGACATGCTTTCTCTGTCACTGCAAACGTTACGGGTGAGTTCTATTTTTTTCTTTCATAATGTATTTATTTTAGAAGTTTTTAAATGTAGAAAAAGAGCCACATTTATATGCATATGTAGATTCTCCAGCATTTATAAACAGTTGTAAATAAGTTTCTACTGCAAACTAGGCCAGCTTGTCACCTGAGGTAACCTCAGTATTGACTGAAATGTCTGATTTGAAGATTCACAGGGTTATTTGTTTTCAATTTGTCAGTCCAGTCGCATGAATGTTACTGTCTGATAACTGTGATTATTTCAGGTAAGTCATAGTGTGTGGGAAAAGAATGGTTTCTGTTTGTACCAGAATGTTTTGTTGTTTAAGGAAAGTTGACTCTCCAGGCTTCAGCTTTATACATGACTTAATGTATTTTAGGCTTGGGAAACATAATGAATTTGAGATGAAAGGAGTCTCGCTTCAACATATATTTATGCTTGAACAATAATCTGTCTATTAGTCCAAAGTAACACATAGTTACATAACAATCATGAGGCTACAAGCTGCCTGTGTGGCCAGCCCACAATACACTTTTTCATGTTCAAGGTTTTCCATAACCGCTCCACAGAATAACACGCTTGTTTTTCACTGCCTTTCATTAAATGGATTGTTTAGAACATCAAAAGACGCATTATTTGAACTCCCTTGTTTCCAAACCCCCGGTGCAAAGTATAATAATTCTTAGTGATGAAAGTGTTTTTGCACACGCTCACTCTTCCTGAGGGTTTCAAAAGACACCAAAGCAGCAATCTTGGACAACAAAAACAAAAAAGAAAATCCCTCAGAAAGGGTTTAACTCTGCACAGACACTTTATGGCAGAGTTGCATCAAATGCTGTGACTTTGTATTTGCTTTTGAGCAAGGTCTAATTAAGCAGACTGCATACACAATTGTTAAATAAAACCATAAGTTATAGGAAATAAAGCACCATCTGTCCAGGGGGCTGCCCAAACATGAATTAGGATTTATTTATAGTGACAGAAGGAAGTCTCACAACATTGAGACATTAAGTTATTGACTGGTGTGATTTTTGTGTTCATCCACTACTCCCTGCAGCCCCACTTCCTAAGGGTTTCAGGATATTTGGGCAGAGAGGGACAGGTCACAGCAGAGTCATGCAGGCGAGGCCTCAGTGCAGCTGGTGCATGGACGGGACAGGAGAGCCTGGCACAGGATGACCCAGAGATGTGGTGCCTCCTGCAGCAGGAGAAGGACAGGCAGTGTCGGGGACTGGAGCTCATTGCATCAGAGGTGAGATCCATGTGTGAAGGGGAGACAGACAACGGTTGAGGGGGGATGTCAAATGTTAATGGTCAAATTCAGAGTCATTGCTTGCCAAGGCGTATTCAAACTGAACATAAAAGGTGAAAGAAGGGTCAACATTATTCCTAAGTAACATTGGAGATGATCCCCCGGATTATTTGTCTGATTTAAAAAAAATCAGCAAACAACAATTAAGTGTCCCTACACAGGGAAAAACAAAAAAAAATCACACACGTTAATGGAAAAAGAACATCAGAATTCAGATCCATTTGAAGAGTAAAAAGTAATGATTTAAACCGAAACGTTAGTGTGTAATTATTTGTGTAACAGGGTAAACAGGGTAGCATGCTCACTGCACCTTAATCTGTATATTATAATCCTAAGAATACACTTATATTTATAGCATTTATTTATATTTATAGCATCCCATTAATCCAGCCATCCATATATACCTAATAATTCACTTTTTTTAGTCTACATCTGTAAATTTTGTAATTACTGTACATAGCACAGACTCTTGCACTTTCTGCTTATTTGCACTTCTGGTGAGATGCCAAACCTCATTTCGTTACTCTATACTTGTATATGTGTAATGACAATAAAGTTGAATCTCATCTCATCTCAAAACTCACATGATCCATTTACCATAACTAACTTTTATTGCATGTTGTTTGTAAGGAAAACATGGGGAATATATAGTGTAAATATAGAATTCAAATATGCTAAAGTTTTAGGTACTCTGCTCAAGTGACCTGTATCTTCTGCTGGATAATATGTCTGTGGAGCTGCTCTCTTTAAATCTTTTTTAAAGTAGATTGAAGGTATTGGAGGAAGACGCTTCAGGTCTTAGATGCTCAGAATAAAGACATTGCTGGTCTGTGACTCTGTGCTCTGTGTTTTATTTCTGTGACTTGTTTATTGTGCAGCTTGCCCCTCAAGGCCAGGAAACTCTTGTAAAGGAGATTATTAATCTTAATAAATGTACCTGGTTAAACTGATTGAACATGTGGTATTGGCAGCTGCACAGTACCTTGTGTAACCTTCTCCGAAAGACCTCCTCCCCTTTTCAAAAACAGTATTTTATTAAAACATTTCTGTACCATCTGTTGTTGCTTTAAGTTTGAACCAGGTGAGCATGTACAGAAAAAAGGCTTGAGATATAAAGAAATAATAATTTGTTGGATTATTTATAACCTCTTCACTTCTAATCATCACTGTAAAAACAGTCTCAGGTCGTATGTTTACTGTTCTGACCCATAGTTATCAGTCTGTGATAGTCTGTGTGTGTGTGTGTGCGTGTGTGCATGTGCATGTGTGTGTGTGTGTGCATGTGCGTGTGTGTGTGTGCGTGTGTGTGTGTGTGCGTGTGTGTGCGTGTGTGTGTGTGTGTGTGTGTGTGTGTGTGCGTGTGTGTGTGTGAGTGTGTGTGTGCGTGTGTGTGTGCGTGCGTGCCTGTGTGTGTGTGTGTGTGTGTGTGTGTGTGCGTGTGTGCGTGTGCGTGCGTGTGTGTGTGTGTGTGTGTGTGTGTGTGTGTGTGTGTGTGTGTGTGTGTGTGTGTGTGTGTGTGTGTGTGTGTGCGTGTGTGTGTGTGTGTGTGTGTGTGTGTGTGTGTGTGTGTGTATGTGTGTGTGTGTGTGTGTGTGTGTGTGAAAGGGGCACTTGGGAAACAGGTGTTTTTTGATCTCTCTCACCTGCTTACTTAAGTCAGATCATAAACAAAGAACAGACTCGACAAACATTAAAATGTACGTTAACACTATTGCGACATTTGAATGTTCCCCCTGTACGGACACAAAACCAGATCATTCACTGTCAATGCTGACATTTGAAAATCCTCTGTACTGAATCTCTGTATGTGCAGGGAATGTAGCAAATTGTAAGCCTGCATTTGTATCTACTGCAGGATTGCAGCTGTTCAAACTGTGCATATAGGAGATGTGAAAATGTAGATAATTATCCTTTGTGCTTTTCTGTAGACAGAGCCATTTAAGATTGCATTTCATAAGACAGAGAGACATAAAAACAACTCCTTACCGCAGAGGAGCCTCCTTCGACAGACTCACCAGAGTTAGAGTTTCTAGAATTTTGACTGTTTTCTTCAGAGAGTTCATCAAAATTTCCTTTGCATTTCCCTCCCTCACAAGTCACTGATTTCATCTGAGTGGAAGCTTTGGGGAAAGGAACTGCTTTCATTCGTCTATTCTCCAGCAATTATGAAACCACAGCACTATCAGTCACAATGACATCTGAAAGATTCTTGTCTTCTTGTGCATGCGGTGTCATTCGCAGCTGCAGGCGGACTCCCAGTGGAGCCCCCTGTTTTTTTCTTCAGGAACACAGTCAAATGATCCCATTATGTTTCCGCAGTCATTGATCTTCACATTTTAAGTTTAGACAAAAGAGGAGGGGGGCATCGTTAATGTGTGTGTGTGTGTGTGTGTGTGTGTGTGTGTGTGTGTGTGTGTGTGTGTGTGTGTGTGTGTGTGTGTGTGTGTGTGTGTGTGTGTGTGTGTGTGTTGTGTGTGAGATAGTGTTCTGAAATGTCATAGAGAGAGATGTATGTCACATAGGGGACAGGTTGAAATCCCACAGGAATGACTGAGGGATCCCTTAACAGTGACAGGTTTGGTATAATAACAGGCAGTGGGAGGACAGAGAGAGAGAGAGAGAGAGAGAGAGAGAGAGAGAAGATGAGCACAAGTGAGAGTGGGAGATAAGAAAATAGACTGAGATAGGGAGAAAAATTAATTCATATTCTTTTTCTTTTTCACAGCTCTAGCTCTCCTCTGACTGTCAATTGTCTTTGGGAGATGTGACACTGTGGTGAACCTCACAGGGAGTCACTTTCAGTTAGATTCTTCTTCAGTCCACCTTTTGTTCTTCACAGTACCTCTTATTCTTTAATATATGGGTATGAAGTGACTGATTTACTTCCTGCAGCTTATAGAAAATACTGTGATCGACCTCCCATGAGATTTTAAACAACAAATTTAACAGAAGGAAATCTGTTTGATGATCCTTCTGAGATTCTGGAACTTGCCTTATTGGTTTTAGAATTATTATTTGTAAGAGAAATGTTATTGCTTGAACTTGATTGCATGCTGGGAAACTGAAGTTTGGGCTGTGCCTTGCTATGTGTTGCTGTGCCATGCTGAAAAAAGAGCAGAGGTGTTGAGACTTGTCTTACCTTCTCCAGGTAAATAACGGTTATTTTTGGATGTTGACAGCTCTGGTATTGTTTGTCCCGTGTCAGAACTTCTGCAGCCGTGCAGCGCTGGAGGCCCAGGGCTCCTGTCTGAACAACAAGTACTCTGAGGGATATCCAGGACAAAGGTAACTACATGGGTAATTCATTTTCCAAAACATATGTTTCAGTCTTTACAAAACTTATCTACAAAACTACAAAACTTAAAATGATTTCCATTGGTCTCTAATAAGAGAGAAAAAGACTTGGGGGTCGGTAACTTGACCCTTATCGTAGAGTGTATATGATTAAATTCAGGATAATACCATTCAGCGCTCTACAACCTCATACATACACTATTTGTCTGGTAGCTGGAGAGGTGCAAGTTCACTTCCTGAGCGATGCCAAGGTACCCTTGAGCCTGAACCTCCAATTGCTCGGGTGCTCCTTCATGTGCAGCCCCCTCACTCTTGCATCTCTCCATTAGTGAATGTCCATAGGATCTGGTTTGTGCATTTGTTTGCATTTCAGCCATGTGTGGAATATCTCAATAACAGAGTGCAATGTTTATCTTCTTCTACAATATGATAAAGTATGGGAAGAGACAACACAAAATATATGACATTATACAGTATAAGACAGTTCAGAAACATTAAAGATGAAAAAAAAAAAAAAAAAAAGACACACACACCCCTAAGCTGGTGCTGGATCCAAAAAACAAATAGGTATAAAGAAGCAAAAGAGTTCGGCACACCGAGGCGCTCCTGTTGAAGGACTGAAGGATTACCTCAGACTGAGGAAGAGCATGTTGGCTCCAAACATCACAAGATCATAAGATGCAAAATGATGTGAGAAGAATCAAAACCAAACGAAACAGTATGATATTAAACAATTATGTAATATTATACTGCACAAAATGATGAAGTAATATGAGATATTCTAATCCTCATAAATACCTGCTGTCTTTCTCAGGTACTATGGAGGTGCAGAGATCGTGGACAAAATTGAGCTGCTGTGTCAGCAGCGAGCCCTCACTGCCTTCAGTCTTGACCCAAACCTGTGGGGCGTTAACGTCCAGCCGTACTCCGGATCCCCTGCAAACTTTGCAGCGTACACATCTGTCCTGCAGCCTCATGACCGCATCATGGGCCTGGACCTGCCTGACGGAGGACAGTGAGTGAACAAGCTAAAGATACTCAAATATTTAGAGATAACCTTCTCTGCTCTTTTTTTTATTTGATCTCTACAGCAAGTAGTAATAATTAAACAGAGTTTATGTTTTATTTAAAGTAGGACTAATTGTCACACTAAGTGTAGTTGAAAACTTTTTATTGTATTAGTATAACGTTTTCTTAAAGTGTTTTTATAAAGTATAGAATTTTGCGTTTTTTGGACCAACAATATGATTTGATTTAATTTAAGATGTTATAATTACATTCTGGTTGCTCTTGAGAGATACTTTTTTATATACAGTATATAGTGCAATTGTTACAATATTCTATTAGATACACTACATTGAATGCAACTTTTTGCTACAGTTTTGGTAAATGTGCTATGAAATGTTTGAGATTTAGCCTGTGACATTTGGACAGTTCCTTGCAGGAAACTGGATGTTTTTATGGGACTTAACATCAAGTGGAATTAAGTAAAATGACAAAGTCTTAGTCACACTTTCTGATGTTGTCACATTATTCTAGCCTCTTTAAAATACATGTATTTTTGTTTGAACTACAGAACTCTGAAAATAAAAATAAATCTCTCTTTTTTAATTAATGTCCCAACCATACAGTACAGCTCTAAGTCACAAACTTTGCTGCAGGTGATTCTTGCATTCCATTAAAGCTGTCCAGTAACGGTCAATAGCAGGCTGCAGGGTTAGTTGTGGCTCAGGAAGAGACATAGAAGATCTAGTATTTACTTGATCATTACTGTATTTAATCACTGCATATACTCATATCAAAGAGGAATAATGACCAAGAGAGGTCAGGCAAGGTTTAGAACATTGCATAAGAAACCACATAACCCCTTTCCTGCTCAATATCTGGGACACACACTCTCTCACATACTGAAATGCAATTTTCGAAGTCTACCTCATTCTGCCACATTTCAGCCTTACCCACGGCTACATGTCAGACACCAAGAGAATCTCAGCCACCTCCATCTACTTTGAATCGATGCCTTACAAGCTGGATGTGAGTTTTGTAAAAAGAAATCAAGAACAAACACACAATTATCAAAGGGAAGCAGTTAAAAAATAAATGCTTCATGTGAAGAAAAAAAACAAAAACTAACCAGTCTTTCTTTAATTATGCAAGCCTGAAACAGGTCTCATAGATTATGACCGGTTGGAGAAGACAGCCAGACTTTTCAGACCCAGACTCATCATAGCAGGAACCAGCGCCTACGCTCGCCTCATAGACTACTCTCGCATGAAGAAGGTACCTATTTACTACAAAATGACATTTTTTAATTGTCAGTATCTCTTCTAGTTAGCAGTTGTATATGTCCCTTGAGAAGGTAAAGCAAAATATAGGGGCTTGAAAAAGTAGGGAACACAAACGACGTTTCACATGTTATTTTTATATATTTCATCATTTCATGTGTGTGTGTGTGTGTGTGTGTGTGTGTGTGTGTGTGTGTGTGTGTGTGTGTGTGTGTGTGTGTGTTTGTCTTTCAGCTGTGTGTGGAGCTTAATGCCTACCTGCTGGCGGACATGGCTCATATCAGTGGCTTGGTGGCAGCAGGAGCTGTTCCCTCTCCTTTCCATCATGCTGACCTGGTAACCTCTACTACCCATAAGTCTCTGCGTGGAGCAAGGTAAGGGGCCTGGATGGAGGTTAATACAGCTCATTGTATCGTAAAAATCAAAAATATACAGTTTACTGTCAACTGTATTGTAACAATTGGATGACGCACTAAGCCATAAAGGATCATGCTGCTTATGGCAAAATCTGTTAGGTGTACCTCATTCACCTGTCTGTCTTCACTCTGCAGGGCTGGTCTAATCTTTTACCGGAAAGGTGTGCGGTCTGTGGATAAGAAAGGTCGGGAGGTGACCTATGACCTCCAGGACAGGGTGAACTTTGCCGTGTTTCCATCACTTCAGGGAGGACCTCACAACCACGCCATTGCCGGGGTGGCAGTCGCCCTCAAACAGGTCCAGAAATCAAGTCTGACAAAACAGAAACGAGAGGAAAAATACTTGTTAAATGTCAAAAGCTCATGAATCAGACACAGAAGTCTTACCTGTCATAAAGATGTGGGCTGTCTCTTTCACTGCATAATGTTTGACTTTACAGGCTTCCACTCCGATGTTTAAACAATACATCACTCAAGTGCTGTTGAATGCAAAGGCCATGGCTAATGCTCTGCTGAAGAAAGGCTACACCGTGGTGTCAGGTACTTACAGAACAGATGTGCTCAATGGGTTTTTTTGTGTGTAAAAAACACAAAAACTATATAGCCTACAATTACACAAGTTACATAAATTTTTTTTTTTCACCAACTGGAATTCAATTTTAAAGTTTTATTGCATTTCTGACACTTAAAGTATGAGACACTGTTTGCTCTGGATTGCCTCATTATTAGCTCTTCTGGGTTCTGTTTTCATGGCTTTTGGGAATTTTTCCTTAAGCTTCACTTGACGGCTGACTGCTGGAGACAGTTAATTATTTTGAGAAATTCAAAGGTGTTATGGTAATATTATCATGACGGGTTGAATAGACAGTCAATGGGGACTTTCACTAAACCGTTTGTCACATTGTCCCCTGAGTTAAAGTGCATTTTTCTTCATTTAACCATAAACCAAACAAAAACAGCAAATCACTTCTTCTCTACTTCATGCTGTAAGGTGGAACAGACAACCACCTGGTGTTGGTTGACCTTCGACCTTGCGGGATAGACGGGGCTCGAGCTGAGAGGGTCCTGGAGCTGGTGTCCATCACCGCCAACAAGAACACCTGTCCTGGAGACAAGAGCGCTTTGACTCCTGGAGGACTCAGGCTTGGTACCCAAAATAGTAGATCTGAATATTGTGCAGGATGTGTTGTGTCATTGATTTTTTTTAATGTGTGAAAAGAGCTGCAGGAGTGTTGATAGTTTTTGTGTCAGAATCTGTCAATCAGTCAGTCTTCATTCCTGTGTGATACCAGTCCCCTTTGTCATGTTTTTCATTTGTGAGATAAATCTGTTTCTGTTTGCTTCCTGTAAGTCTGTCAGTTTGTCAGTGTCAGTTTTGAGCTTAACATCTTTATAAAGTTTATCAACAGTGATTGTCTTTTTAAATTTAAGTTGACATCGTTTTCCTTCAGGAGCTCCGGCTCTGACCTCGCGACGGTTCAAGGAGGAAGACTTTGAAAAGGTTGTTGAGTTTATTGATGAGGGGATTCAGATTGCACTGGATGTGAAAAAGAAGACTGGTGAGAGAGAACAAAGTTTCTGTATTTTACTTTGAATTCTGACTCATACAGTCAACATGGACACGACTCTTCCAGGCCTGGAAGAAGTCTTAATGCTGATTTATGAAATTGAAACCGACGGCTTTTTGTTTTTGTCTCCCAACAGGAAATCTGGCCAACTTTAAGTCCTTCCTGCTTGAGGATTCAGAGACAATGTCGCGTGTCACAGAGCTTCGCCAGCGGGTGGAGCTATTTGCTAGGCCCTTTCCCATGCCTGGATTCACTGACCACTAACAACACAGCACACATAGAGCACGGATACACACTCTTTAGGACTCCTCTAATGTAGAGGTCTTACATATGTTTTGGTTGTGTTGCCATGGAAACAACACTGTTTGGAAACACCATCAAGCTCAAGGAAGTTGGTCATGTGAAGCATCAGTTTCCAAATCAGTTAAAGAAATAATATCTGCATATGACCTAAAAATATAAAAACATGTTAATGTTTGAAAATCTGATTGATATAAATTAAATCATACATCAGATTTATACTCAATATACAATGCAGTTTATAAACCATAAGTGGCTCATAAATGTTTGGAAAGAAATTAAAGTTTTCATGACTGTGTAATGTAATTTGATTACTATCAACCTGTGGGCTCCCATGGATGTTTCAATAATGAATGAGAGTATAGAATAACTTCTAATGATATAAGGAAGCCTTCACAGGAGAAGATAAAAATGTTTTTTTTAACTCTACATAAATCAATTCTTTATATGTAACCACCACATTATACAGTGAAATAAACGTTTAGACTGTGCTCATAAATACTGAAAAGTTGAATTTTATTTTTACCTGATGAAGTGACAACACATCACTGCAATAATGTCCAACGTTATAACACTCTGACAAGTTACTACAGTTCTGCATTTAACTCTCGTAGAGCAGACAAGGGAATTATATTTGGACGCACTAAATAAAGAGAATGATTTGTTTTGTCTGATCAATTGCAAATGCGGGTGGTTGACAATGATGAAACTTTCAACTCAGATTGCTGACACATAGGTCTAAAAATGTTGCATGATAACTTGTTAGCTATCTTGCTTTTAATTCTTCACTACCAGCTGCACTTGCTGATACATATTTGTTGACCTCTCAGACTGGACTGTTGGTTGTTCTGCTAAAGCCACGAGGACCTGAAGTGTTTTTGTGTATTTGGATTGTGTCACTAAGCTCCCCTTATAGAGGACTCTCATCATCATGCTTTGTCCCATGTCGTGGGAAAATTCACAGCAGCTGTGCTGGGAGTTCAACAAACTCAGCTTACACCCATTAAACCAAAGTAAAAGAGAGTAAACAGCATGTACTGTGTTTTGTGATTCATAATGTCATCATCTGTAGCTTAACTTTGATTTGTTTAGTTGAGGATTTGTGAAGAATGTACAATGTTTATATATTGGATCTCTATTGCAATAAAAAGATATCCTGGATGTCGACAAGGTTGTTGAATTTTTTTAAAAATATTTCATATTCGATTGTGCATTGTTCTTTTTATGTTGACAGTTGCAGAAAAAGAGAGGGATGTTTATCAACATTGATCGATGTTAAGCCGCTGGTATTTCCTTTTTATGATTTCCTCTCACTGTTGATCCAGCTGATGTCAGAGATTTGACTGGAAGATTGTCGGTGCGGGGCTTCACACCTTGTGTAACCATTTAATGTTCTCATTGATAGTAAGCATTGATTTATCTCACATAGAAATCTCACCTCACTGGGCAGCAGCTATTTGTTTTCTATGTGAATAAACGAATACGCTTTTTATACTTGTAAATAAGCAGAATCAGGCAGGATGTTGGAAGTAAGACCACCAGTTTGCAGAAGTTGTAACGTCTTTCAATGCCATATTTAAAGGCTTTATATGTGCGCTGCATTGTTGTGTTAGCATGCTAATGCTAGCGATCTTTATTATGCTCGTATCTTCACACTGCATGTAAATTTACCTGAAATGAGCGTGATCTAGAAACACAGTTAAGCAGTGAGTACAGTATGTTATTCTTCTTTTCTCTAGTTCCTCAATTAAACAACTTTTATACATGAGGGGAGGAGTCAGCCGGCCGTCCGGGCGATGTAAACAAACTGAAGATAGAACTCTGAAAACTCTGAAAACATCACAGACAGTGGGACTCGGGTGTTACACCCATTGTAGACAGTCATGACTCACAGAGTTATTTTCAGAGGATATACTTGATTTATATTACAGTTAAGTGTGAAAAATCACATATAAAGCCTTTAACTTTGGGGCGCTCTCTCAGTATTACATAATGCTAGTAAACATGGACACAGTTTGTAGTATACATAAGAAGATGAGAGCGTTATGTAACACAAGAGTCCTTCACTGCCTCCCAAAGCCTTCAGAACTTTCATTTATGTTTATTTAAACACTTCCTGTCCTCTACTGGCACTCAAGTTATTGCAGTCACATCTCTGTGACACCACAGTGATAGAAAAGGAAAAAAAAGAGAGCTGGCTGACTCATTGTCTTCTTCAGACTGAAATGATGTCCTTTGGTGTTATTTTACTTGAATGTATGTCGGTTGGAGTTGTTGTTTTTTCTTACAGTTGCAGTAGACAAGCTTTGCAGAATGGAGTGTTATTGTAGCTGCAGCTCTTAAAAATGATTCAATTAGGGACTGAATGGACTTTTGTATTTTATGATAGCCCGCTTTTGTCCTGCTTAGTGCTTCAGTCTGTTCAATCTGTGGGGTGGAAGATTATTGCTTCAGTTTCTGCCAGAGGAATGTGTCCCCTCCACAGAGACCGGCCACCGGAATCACAGGTCAGAGGTCAGGGAAGCTCTCTGCTCTGTCGTCAGAAAACACACAAGCAAAACAAAGACACACACATGCAGCATCACAACACAAACGATGCCAAATCTGTTTAATCTCTGTGTCTGTTTCTCATGACCTGACAAAGCTCTGACACACTGTGATGGTCTGTCTGTCTTTTCAGGCTTTAGGTAACCACATGATCACCCATGTTCCATCGTTCTCGTTTTATAATTCCAACAACTGTGAGATGTAAAAATAAAAAAGGATGATTTTTAAAGTTATAGTTCTTCTTTTATCTCTCTTTTTTGTATTGAATTGGAGGAAATAAATATGAGCTCAGAGTGTGGCACCAAAAGGAAAGTTTGATGGTTTAAAACAAGATAAAAATAAATGTTATGTCAGTTAGCAAAGCAAGGATCTTGTAAGAAGAAAACTATTTGCTTTCATTTATGTTTTTTACTTTTTAAATTGTACTTAGAAAAAGTGATCAAGAGAAAAACGTAAGGAGGGATAACTCTGTAAAACAATATTTGAATGAAAAGGCTCAGAGTCTTAGAAAAAGGAAATACATGTCATCTCATCTGTCATGTAAGGATTAACAGATACTGTAGTTTTTAGAGTCTAAATGAATATATCTACCTTTATAATTACTCTCCTCACAGTTTATCTGTGGTACTTCAGCACCATTAGTGTCATCTGGAATAATCACTAAAACAACTAAACAAGAATAGAAATCTGTGTTTGAGTCTAAGCTGTCATCAGTGTATATGTTTGTGTTTGCAGTATGGAGAGATGGTTTCTGGATTTGTGAGTGTGTGTGTGTGTGTGTGTGTGTGTGTGTGTGTGTGTGTGTGTGTGTGTGTGTGTGTGTGTGTGTGTGTGTGTGTGTCTACATGTTGTGCTGCTCTGCTGTCACACATTAATATCATGCTGGGGACTGCTCAGCATCCTGCCACTTTTGTAGCTGATCAAAGACTTAGGGCTGCTGCACACCCTGGTGCATACAGACAAACAGCAACACACATGCATGTAAACGCACGCGCGCGCGCACACACACACACACACACACACACACACACACACACACAGTAGATGGATCTGTTCCATGGCAGTAACTGATTGTACTGTATTTTTATCTTAGTTTGTGGAAAAAGATCTGTATCTTCTGTGCAGGTGTTTAAGATAAAGCCTGTCTGTCTGCATGTGTTTGATAGCGCACACTGACATAAAACACTCTCCCATCAGAACATGAATCAGACATATTATTCATCTATGTCTTTATTAATGGCGTATACAGTGTCTGATGAATTGAGTGACTGATCTAAAGAGATATAATCAAAAAGATGGGATTAAGAGATGAAACAAAAATTCTTAATAAGCACAATAAAATAGTCAGCTACTTTTTTAACAATCATGTAGCCTATATTTGCATTTATGCTGACTCATGCTGTTATTTGGAATGCCTGACAAATACAGGCAATTGATATTTTTCATATGTAATCTGTCAGTCTCTAACTCAATGTATTTCTGCACAGTGTTGAAATCAGCAGATTCGTGTCTCTTATTTGCAGAATTCAGTGAACATTTTGAGATAACTTCAAAATAATACCCCTAAAGAATTGTAGTAAACTGTTTTATGTCATGTAAAGCATACCTTATATGTATTAAAAATGATTACGGTAAATGATTTTCCGATGCATGACTTTGCAAATGACTCAGACTAGAAATAGTTTATTCATATGAGGAGCACATGCTTTTACATATCTCCTGCATTCATGTCAGTATGTCCAGATACACATTTTAAATATTGACGATGCTGGTCACATTTACAAGATCTTCAGCTTCTTTGCAAACACAACACAGGCACAGAGAAACAGATCCTGCTCTCGTATCCCTCTCACCTTCCACCTGAAGTGAAAGCATTAAGAGACTTGGGTGAGGAGGAGGCGGAGGAGGAGGATAGGTTTATGAATCTGACCCTAGATCAGGTTTTTTTAATGTTAGGATGCCAGTGAGAAACTCAGAAATCAGGTCCCTCCTTCTTCAGGTTTGGGTAGTCTGTAGTGATGGCCACAAACTGGGGATGAAAGAGAAGAAAACCAAAGTGAGTAGATGCTTGATGTGTTTGAGCAACAGGATCATTTTTGTATTTAATCAAATATGTGAGCCGTTTCAATCAAATGAATCAGAGTCAGAATGTGAACCAATGTTTTTCAACTTTGACAGCTATATATTGGTACCTTGTACTGGTATGTAGGATCTAGTTTATTCCATGGCTCGGGGTTGTTGGTTTTGTTCCAGCTAAACACAAAACAGAAACAAACAGAGAGTCTGTATTCTTTGGGGATCTGTTGCAGATGAACAAAGCAGATCCAGCACTTTCACATGTGACCTGATACGCCTGAGAGCTCCTTCATTACAAAACCTTCTTTCATAGATTCCCCACGATAAAAAAAGAAAACTACAACCAAAGCAAACACAAGTTGAGGGAAAGTTTCTGCAGTGTTTTTTTTTTTAAAACCTGCTGAGCCACCAGCAGTACACTCTTTATAATAATATCACCAGGCATGTAAACAATCACTTCTGCAAAAAAATGGTGAAAGACCTGTAAAAGAAACAAGACAGTATGTGTGTGCTTAAGAAGCAGTTTCTGCTCGTCTTGCAGAATCATTAAGGATTTATCAACAGTTTGATAGCAGCAGGAGGAGAGTAACAATCATAAATCTGATGCTTGCTTCATTAGAGTGTGAATAGTTTACATCTGCCCACACATACCTTGTTAAAAAGTTAGAAAATTGGCTTTTGAGGATGAAATTCTAAAAACATTAGAGTCTGAGTTTAATTATATATTGATGGTGTTGCACTCCATCTTGTCACCAATGATTGATTTCTTGTTTTGAACCTGTAGACTCAGATGTCACAGATGTCTCCACCTGATAATGCACACCTGACAACAAGCTAACTATCTGCATTATAATGAAAGTGAACTTATTTATATTGATGAAATACAGATATGTACATCAACCACCAGGTTTTGTTTTCAAGACAGAAAGCAGTTCCTGAAACTGGTCTAAATCTCACATATCATCTTTGTTTAATATCACCAGAGGTCAAAGGGAAATGTGAAAGGTTCTTACGTGACATGGGGTCCTTTTGCCAAACGGATGAGATACAGACTTGCCCACCCATTCCCAAACAGATGAAGAAGAACTGGGGGATGAGCTGGATATGCAGAGAGACAAAATCAAAAGAATAAATTTCTTGCTGATTAGTAATGTCATAATGCAACATGTGATACTGTGTTTTTACCATGTTTTTACCGCTTCATAAATCATATTTAAAAAATCTGTGTCTGTCATGATAAGACTCTGAGACAACACTTATTCATCCTCTGATAGTGGCTGACAGTGTGATTCTATAATGGTGGGTTTTTTTCCATAAAGATATCATTTATGGAAGAAGAGAAGTTCAAGCTGTCAGCAGCAACGCTACTCTCTGATTGATTGACATTGCTCGACTGATTGAAGCCTGCTGTATCAGAAAGAGCAGACAGCTGTGACTCCATTCCTAAATATAGGACCTCTCAAGTCTTCAAATTCTGACATAAAGTATGAAAGAAGTTGTCCGACAGAAGCTTTAGCAGTAAATAACATATAGGGGTGACTGTAGTCTGGTGGTTAGTGTGTGTGCCCCATGTCGTAGTCCTCCAAGCAGACCCTGGGGCTCACCTGAACCCTGAATGTTATACCCACTCTCTCTCCCCGATTTCTGACTCTGTCCACTGTCCTGTCTCTAAATAAAGGCATAAAAGGGCCAAAAATAAACCTTTAAAAAAATTACATTTGGTAACAGTGTTTGTTGATGTATTAATTTCGGCAGGAAGAAAATCCCTGCATCAAATCAGGCCACAGCCTGCAACTGAACTTAGAAAAATCACTGGAAGAAGAGGACAACAACTCGCCTGACTCTGTACATGTTACAAAATTAACACATTAGATCTTGTTAATTGAAATATTAAGATTATTGATATTATAAAATCACACACTTACCACCTGCTGAAGATTTGACTTAGTATTAAGTGTTATGAGAGTTGCCATCCATCAACTATCCCATCTGAAGACAATGAAATGATTCCTGTTCCTTAAGTTACAATACATTGTGTTATCATCGAGCAAAATGTAAAGTGCCTGAAAGTTTAATTTGTTCCTGTGTATGTCTAATGCCCACTTCATCTATGTATCTCTCTGTTTCAATGTGCAACCACCTGCCTGACCTTCTGTCTGTCTGACCTTCTGGTTCTCTGGCTTTGTAGAACCCTGTCTATCTGCCTGTCTAACTTACCTCTCTTAATGTCGCACTAACTTTTTATTTGTCTGGCTGAACATTCCCTCTTTCTCTCTTTGACTCTTAAACTTTCCAACTCTCTCAAACAGCCTGTCTGTCTCTCTCTCTATCTGTCTGTCTGACTCGTATAGCTTGATCAGGGAAGTTTGTTGAGTCTCACAGGGATTTGCTCCCTGCAGCGTCTGTCTCCCTCACTCGGTCTGTCTCTCAGCCTGTCTGTCTGTCTGTCAGGATGATGGACCAAATCAAGGAACTCTGGTTGAGTCTCACAGGGATTTCCACCCTGCAGCTTTTCTCTCTCACTCTCTATCTCCCGGGAGGCCGGTGACGAGAAGTTAAAACTCAGTCATTCCATTCTCTGACAGCAGGGCTGGTTGAAAGCATAAATAATCCCTTTCCCCCAGTGGGAATAACTCTCATTTTCACATTTATTTCAGTCCAACTACTCATCTCCTAAATGCTTAGATTTTGTCAATTTAGATTTAAAAGTCACAAAAGTATTTTTTTTTTCTTCAAGATTTTACTTTTGTGCTTTTAATGGAGAGACAGGACAGTGGATAGAGTTGGAAATTAGGGAGAGAGAGTGGGGAACAACATGCAGGAAGGAGGCCACAGGTGGGATGTGAACCTGGGTTGCCCGCTTGAGACGACAGCCTCCGTACATGGGGCGCACGCACTAAGCACTGCGCCACCAGTGCCCCCACAAATGTAGTTTTGAGTGTCATGCCTGTGTCAGTTTGGCTGGCTTCACAAGAGCCACAGGAGCAACTTAACCTAATGAACCAGAGTACGATTAGATAAGGCAAAATTAGACTTCTGATTAAGTGTCCTGCTTGAACCCATTCAACTGGAAAGCTCTTCAAACATGCAATCATCAAGTTTAGCCTCTTCTGTGTTTAATTTACTGAAGCAGGAACTTAGGCAGCGATTGAGTCAATCAGTTAAATATTCAGAATTCTGTGAAGTTTTGATGAAAAGTAAATCAACTTGTGCTTCAAGTAGATCTCACTTGAGGTACGTTCAAAAACAAAGCTGAAAATGGTAAGAGGTCTCTGTCACTGCCTTTAAAGTGCTAAAACAAGAAATAGAATAGAAAAGATAGAACAGAAATTGATAAAGTAAACCTACCCCAGGATGCTTTTTAGCATGCTCCACTGCTGTGCGAAATATCATTGCTCCAGTTTATACAAATTCAGCAAAAAAAATGCTCTAAATAAGATTTCAGTAGATTATTCAGGCCCTGGTTATCAACCAGCACAAGCTTTAAATGTCCGTGCACAGTCAGGATTTAGACCTGTTGCTCTCTGCATGAGGGAGGAGGGAGGGAGGAGGAGAAGGAGGTCATTAACTTCTGATTAAAGCTCCTTCTGTTGCTTTGTTGGGCTGATTACACTGCGCCGGACAATGTGTACCAGTACATTCATTCGATGAGGTTTCATCATTATGAAAATGTATTAAATATCCAGGCCATAGATATTTTATGCTCATAGCAGGGTGTTGAATTTAACCAAGAAAAGGCAGCAGCTCTAGCTCCTGTAGAGAGCTTGAAGGCTTTTTCTCCCTCGTTTTCTTCCCTGTAGTTGAAAAACTTTTGGCCCTTTGGGAGGACACTGGAGGAAATGGGAAAATATACAAACAAAGAGTCCTTTTTAAGCCCCTGAGGAATTGTGAAGTCTTTGGACATCTTCAGTTTTCCTTATCATATCAGTACAGATGTATACAGTTCACATCCCCCAAAAAAAAACAGATTACTGGAAAGCTGCAACAACAACAACACCACAGAACAGACCAACGCAGTGGTATGAGGCCATCAAATACTGGGAGCATGCTTTGCCTGTAGATAATAATCAAGTTGAACACATATTCAGTAAACAATTGGAAAACAAGTTATACAAATACCTACTTTTTACAAAGACTTATACTGGAATCTATGTTGTTCCATGATGACGTCATGTTGCATCGTCTTCAAATTTTAAGGACGTTATGACACAAAATGTGTCATATGCAGACATAATGCTAATCATGCTCAGATAAATAATTGTTCAAAGGTGTGTGCTGTTTGGAATAAATGCACTGCTTTTTGTATATTTCCAAAAAACCTCTTCATAAGTGGAACATACAGTATATGTGTTGAAACTACAAACCTTTTGTTGCCACATTTCAAGACTGTTATAGACGTCCTGTTGGTCTGTGAGCCTCACTAATTTAGATAAACACACTGAATTTCTCTGGTTTCAATTGTTATTCCTACAATTATGTGTGTGATTCAAATGAATTATTATTAGGAAACATTTTTACAGAGGAATACAGACTGACTGAAAAATGAAACATGAGCCTTCACCAGTGCAGTGTGAGCATGGATTTACAGTGTGAAGTTTTTCACCATACTTTTTTAACCTGCCCTCACACTCCCTGCAGCCAGTAGAGTAATTAGTCTGAGAGCAGCCTGTGCCTATAGTTAGACAGTGTGGAGCCTTCTGTTAGTAGTGTTTTATGTCTTATCGGTATAATGTAGGTTCAATAAAAGTATTCATGTTTATTATTTTTCATTTAAATTGATGTGCTCAGCTTTAACATCACATTTTGAAGTATTGCCAAGTTATCTTTTACTATTGATTCAGAGGGTATTTAACTCTTTGGAGTCCCTGGCCCCTGCAGTGGTTTGCTCCAATGAGAGTCGGCCCCAAAGAGGTATGAAAGGAGACTCAGCCATAGTCCTGGGTAACATGTAGGCTGTACTAATAATCGCTTGATGTGTGGCTGTGTTTAATTTCTCTTTTTTTTTTTTTTGCCTTTACCCCACGGGAAGGTTTTGTTGTCTGTTCATAAACCCATCACTTTATTTTTGCACAAATTTCTTCAAATACACATCTTCCTGATATCTTAAGCCACACTTAAATCACATTTTTATCTACAGTTACCACAGGTTATACTAAATAGGGCGGCTGTGGCTCAGTTGGCAGAGTTGTCGTCTTTCAACAGGAGGGTCGAGGGTTCGATCCCCAGCTCCTGCAGCCACATGTCTGATGTGTCCTTGGGCAAGACATTTAACCCCAAGTGCTTCTTCGGCGGTGTATGTGTATGAATGGGATTAGCAACTATCTAAACCTCTTTCATTGTCTAGACCTTTTTAGTAAAAGGGAAGAGAAGAACAGGATCATAATGTTGATGCAAAAATTATTCTGAATTGTCGCAAGCAATTCAAATATTAAGCTTGAATAAAACTATCCTAATGAAAATAAAATAAAACATTTCACCAAGCTTGTGTCACATCTGGGTTTCCTCCGCTCCTCCGACACAGGATTGAGTGACGTGAGCTCAGCCCTGCCTGCTGCTCCTGCTGACCTGCAACACCGCAGCAGCTCACAGACAAATCCTCCTAATTGGACCCTAGCCAAAAACACTGTGGCACAGACATGCTCCAACCCCAGCACAGGCTTGTTTAAAAATACACATTATCTGCATGGTGTACCTACGATATAGCATCAGCTGGAGAGAAGTTATTTATAATCCTCACTAATGATGATGTTTATTGGGCCTAGCAGGATATTTGACTAGTACTTCACCCACATCCAGCAAACTGGTGAGAGTGCACACAACAGAGAAAAAAAAAGAAAGGTAGACAAGAGCAAGAGAAGGGGGAAAGCAGGTATGAACATGAACCAAAGTGGGAAACATGAGCACCTAACTATCAGGTCTATTTCTTTGTTAATGAATTTAAGCTATGACACCTCATGAAAGAGGATTCATTAACACTTGAAATATCAAATGTTTGGTCACATCAGTTAGCCTTCAGTGGTGGTGTAAGACAGAAACAAGCTTTAATAGCCTAACACAACTATGTATCACATGGAAATTAAAAAGGTTAAAAAGAATCCATCATCATTGTCTCTTTTTTTTCTAAATTTGATGAAGTGCTGAAATGTAGTGTAGCCATCGTAATAAATCCTCTTCTTGCTTTAAACATAAAGCATTGCCTTATTATTTCCTTTTTAATCCCTTTTGTTAAATGTGAGCTATTCAGCCTGCGGTCACAGGCCTGTTTAGGCTCTGATTAGTCCTGCTTTAGAAAGCAGGGGGCTGTTCGTTTCTACCAGTCTGTGTTTGTTGTGCTGCTTGAGGAAAAACAGAGCAAGCCCACAAAGGCTTTGAACCTTGAGCTGTGGCACAGTTTAACACCATGTAATACCTTTAAAACCACCAGAGGTCTGCTGGGTTATTAATGTGGACCAACAAAGAAAAAGGACAGCGCACTAATCACACCTGAGGGCAGCTGACAGTTCTTCAGCGTAACCTGTAAACTAGATAAGACACAGAGGACTGGACTCTGCATCATTACTTTGAACATGGAGTGTTATCTACAAGGCTCATCACATGTGTTTGTGAACATAAGGCTGATTGAACTGTAGATTTGTGGATTAGTGGGCAGAACACAAAGTACATTTTGCTCAAATGGCACTTAAAGAAAACCAAAGACTCGTTTTGACATGAATGAAAACCTGCAGCAAGAAAGTGTCCCTCCTTAGAGCTGTTTTACAGAGCCGGTATGAGAGAGCACCGTGTCACAGAGGTACATGTCATTTGAAATGTATCTGCTATTTTTAATCTGCTGTTAAAAAAAATAACATTGCTCAGTTGCAGCTGTTGGGCTGAAACAGAGACAGATTTTTTGATGATTTGTGCCCTCTAGTGGTGCAAAACTATACTGTTATACTATACTGTATACCTTATAATAATAAATAATGAATATTGTAATTTCTAATAAACAGACATTTAAAATGACTTAACCAGTCACCCTGCATGTTATCCATGCAAATGCTTTCGGTTTATTGTTTAGGTTTGGATCAGTCTGAAAAATCATCTCTGGAAGAAGCTGACTGCATTATTTTTGCACTTAAATGATACTAATACATTCTTCCTTGTTTTAGTTTTTTTTTTTAAATCTTCAGGGTACTTAAATCTAGTATATAACTTTGAGTTTTAGAGATTAAAATGTTGGTTGTACAAACCAAACATTTAAAGATACAAACAAATGTACTAATCCATCCTCCAAACAAAGATTAAGAATCAAACTAATCTTAAAATGGAGGAGTAATTTAGAGTAATGTGGCCGACGTTTATGGAAAAAAAAAACTCCCTTGTTTTTTCCTTAGCCCACCAAAATGTATTTACCAACAATACATTGATGTGAGAACAAATCCAAGTGTGACACAGGGCCATAATACTAAAAACCTGTTCAAGCCGTGTGTGTGTTTGTATGTGTGAGTGTGCGCATGAATTTGAGGCAACCGACCCTTCATTTGAAGTGTGCAGAGACCATCAGCCTCTTGGCTCCCCCTGATTATCAACTTAATAACAAACAACTTTTTCAAATCAGTCAAAATGTGAATTTTATAGAAAAAATACAAAATTCAAACAAAAAATTCTATTTACATATAAATACATTAAATATTCCCACTGGACCTGTTTAGATCATTTATATAACCAATCAATTTGAAGGTTCTCTCTTTTGTATAATGATAATAAAACAGAGAAGAATATTCTAGTGATGTCACCAGTATTGTATAACAGAGAGTGAACAGATGAAGTCTCTGCTGACTGAAGAACAGGCAGGAAACATATCCCCTACACATTCTTGAATGGTCATTTCTGGACACAAGCAGTGCCTCTTCACTGTAAAAACAGTTACAATCATCCGTTTATTTTGTTTGTTGGATGGGGTGTTTGTTTTCACTTCAAAGGTGAAATGCCTGACAGCAAACCCCTCTGACAGTCATCAGATCATATCTGAATCCAATAAGAAAAAGAGTCTTCCCATAAATGGGAAAAGTCTTCTGCAAAGTCTTCTTCACATTTGAAAGCATGTAGCTCAAACCTTCACATTAAAGGCTGCTGAAATGCATGCTAGGAAATTTTAGGGTTAAAAACTTATGTAGAAGCAGCAAAGTCAAACAGAAAAAAGTAAACACTCTGCTTCAACCAACAATCATTTCTAAATGTAATTTTAGAAAAAAAAAAAAAAAAATCTGAGATCTCAGTTCAAGCGGTTACCATGGAAACATCAGCAAGAGTAGAACTGGGGGGCGTCAGTGCAGAAGTAACCGTGGGGACAGCAGCAGACACTTCGGTTGATGTCAGCATGTTACCAGCAGGCTCGTTAGGACGAGCAGGAAGTGGTTTGGCGAGTTTCATGGGAATGAAGACGTTGGAGGCACAGTGCTCACTCAGGTACTCGCCTCCTTTCTCCTCGTAGTCCAGTCTGCTGATCCATCCCTCTGACGACTCTCCGCCTTGGCTAGGTAGATGCTCAACGGCCCAGTCTCTTGCCCCATACCAGGCATCCAGAGCCGGCCGCGACGCCATTGTAACCTAGGCAGGAGTTGACCAGAGTTTACAAAACATTATACCCCGATTATAAACCATCCATTCCAAAAGTATTTCAACAAATAAAACATGTTAGCTGCTTTACTGGATTTAAGTTTCTTTCTTCCAGATTCACGTACTATCTCTATCTACTATCTGTAATCTGTTCACAATTAATTGATCGTCACAATAGTAAAGGTTGTACAATCATACAAAGGGTTTTAAAGAGGACATTAAAAAGACCTTGAAGTTTGATTGAAAAGGCCTCATGGCCAGCAGTTCTCGCTCCACTCTCGCCTTCATTCCTGGGTACTGCATGTTCCCACCGGTCAGAAACACATTGCTCACTAGCACATCCTGCTGCTCTGGAGTGTACCTGAATGACGAACACATAAACACATGTTATTAGCAGAATTTTTAATAATTTTGAAACATAAAATCAATTAAACATTATGAAAAAAAATATAATAATAATAATTTAAGTTGCTAACTTGGGAGTTTTTGATAAATAACCCAAACTGGCCAAAATCATGTGTGCATGATTTTTTAAAATATTTTATGTATTTACATTCACAGTTCTGAACATGCATGTGTGTGCTTATCATTACAGCGTCCCCAAAATAACATTACCTTGCCAGGACGTACTGCAGAGTCTCCATCAGTCCCATCTGATCCTCTCCGGTTGGTGAGGGCTGGAACATGATCTCTGGACACCGCAGACGCTCCGTCCCTACAAACAGCTGGTGGTACTCTGCCACGTTGAACACGGGCTGGGCACAACATGTAAGATATTTTCAGCCGACATCAATGTGTGACAAGTACGGGAAAGTTTCTGAGTGGTTTAGTTCATGAGCAAAAAGAACAAGTCTCAAAAGATGCTTTTAGTCTTTGCTCGTTAGCAATCAGGAGAAGAACAGAAACTAATATCTACATTACAGAACTAGATTCTCATGCATCACCTGCTGGTACTACAGGGTCACATGACTTTAAATCTCATGGTTTTTAATAGAAAGGCATTGATCAGTCAATGAAACTTTATTTTTTCTTATTTCGGGTTATGCAGACACGGGGAGGTTCTTAGCTAGTTAGGCAGCTGCAATGATCTATGTACTGTTTGCAAAATAAGAAAATTAGTTTTCCTGTCAGAACAAAACAAGTGTACAAAGTGTCATTTAAACTCAATTAATTACAAGAAACATACATCCTTCCACATATTGCCCTGTAGGATAACTACCTGCATAGCATACACCAGGATCTAATTATCAGTCTGGGAAGTTCCTGTGTCCCTCAGCCATTACCTGAATCACATTAGCAGGCTTTTCTGGCAGTGTGTCATCAAGGAAGTCAGGATCGATCAGTGCCACTCCGTCTCCCTCGTCCATCGGCTGCTCCAGCTCAGACACCTGGCAGAGGGCAACAGAACAGCCTCAGGCTTCATGTCAACTGTGGCACATTAGCTTCAGCAAACAAGGACGGATCCCAAAGAGCACCGCAGCACATTCGCAGTAATGACATGATAATGTCACCTCAGCTCAAGGGCTCCTGGGTTTATCAGCTGTCATTATTTCTTTTTGCAGAATATAGAGTGCAGCTTGACATTTGCTGCTTTGTTACTTTTTGCAAGTGAAACATTTTCATAACCAAGTAATTCATTACATACATAGAAACACTGCTCAGAGGAAGAATGTGTGACTTTTTGGTCTAGTAGATGTCGCCTCAAACTTCTGTTTGGCGTCACCTTCACCATACTAAAGCCTCCGATATCCTCCAGCGACACACCTCAAACCCCCCTGCCCTCCCATTTGTCCAAAGGAGTCATCAAATGGAACGTACCATAATCAAGCACAAGTGGTGGACAATTTAGTCCTTGGGGTCGAGCTGCAATTGCCTGTGTCCTGCATTGTAATGTTAGCACACTTTAATTAGCTTGTAACTTCACATTGCACATAAATTTACACAGAATTGTTTCTGTAGTCCTTGACTAAAACAGCTTTTACAACAACACAGCCGGCAGGACTCGCACTACTCAGTCATTGTAGACAGTCATGACTCAGAGAGACATTTACATATACAAAATAAATGTTTAGGAGTTCCAGTTGTGCTCAGTCGGTAGAGCAGGTGCCCCGTAAAAGTCTAAAGTCTGCAACACAGCAGTCCCAAATTTAACTCCTACCCTCTGTCCCTTTGCTACATGTCATCCATACTCTCTCTGGACAATCTCCCTTTCACGCTTCAGTTCTTACAACGTTTTATAGAATGAAACAAATGCTAAGCCAGAAAAGGGTTTTACATTTGGACACAAATAGGAGTTTTATTCTGCTTTGATAGAGTAAAACCCACTTCTGTCTTTCCCTCTGCTCCATCACTGTGCAGCAGTTTTTGTCTGCCCTGTTCCACTGCCAGCTGCAGCTTGTTGATGTACGACTGTAGCTCCTCGGCTGAGTCCATGTTGAGCTCCACCAGACTCCTATGAAACTGATCCAGCAGGCCGTCCTCCAGCAGCTCCTGCACACACAATACTATAGTGTCACTGTGTACCAACTTCAAGATTCAAAGACAAAGATCAAACATCAGCTTAAGCATGTAGCTGGAGGTGTTTAGATTTTGAATAATTATAGTGGGAGTTGACAACAAAATTCCTGAGAAGAGCAGTAAGCCCTTGTCTCTGGGGTTTTCAGTTGTAAAAGGTCAAAAGGTCATTACGGGTGTTTTTTTCTAATGCATATAAATGCCAGTAGAGAGACCTAAAGCTCTATGGAACAAACTTTGAATTAAACAATAGATCTCTTGCCTGTACTACAGTGAGTCTATCCAGCCTCTCTTGGTCCTGCTGCAGTTTCTCCTCCCTTCGGCGAGTATTGATCTCCTGAAGCCGTCGAAGCTGCTGAGCTCGTCTCTCCTGCCTCTCCTCTACGCTCACACAGCCGCCTGGCACCTTACTGGTGAAGGGAAGCTGCATACGGTGAACCTCCCGCTCGTAAAACTCCGGGCTGCGCCACTTTTCCAACTCTGAAGACATCGAAAAATAGAGCACATAGACAGTCAGTAAATCAGAATGTAAGAAATACTTTACAAGTAATGCATCTCCATGTTGTTTTTTTATGTGCCTGCTGCATCCCCACCAGCAACAAGGAGAAAATGTGCAAATTCAGTGTTTTGATGTTGGGTCCTTTAACTATTAAAAAAACATCCATGTTTATACGCTTCTGCATCTCTGAGAAACAGTTAACTTTAAGCTTATCAGCTGTATGTATTTACAACGTCGTACAGTACCTTCATGATAATCCACAGCTGTGTAACTGTGTTCATGCAGAAGCTCCTCGACACGGCTGAGCGTGACAGCAGCAAGATGTCCTGGGTATTTAAGCTGAAGGAGGCGCTGCAGGTAGGACGCTGCCTGACTCCCAGCCACGTTCACACGCTTACTGTTAACCGCATCAAACCTAGAATTTTAACCAAATAAACTCTTCATGTACAGACAAAATAACATTGTTTATGATTGAAGGAAATGGAAGAATAAGGGTTGGAAAGGAAAATTATTTCTGAATAACAATGGCAGTGAGATAGTATCAAACAAACAGTGACAGGTGTTTTTGCACTGTGAATCCTCACCTGCCGTTTATAACTGGCAGGATGTGTGAACAGTGGTATCCTGAGGACAGAATGATGCCGGTGTGTGGTGGCTGGAGGTTCCTTTGGGTGTTATTGTGGTAGAAGCTGTACAAGCTGTCTACGCCGTAGGACACATAAGGTACTTGGTAGCACTCAAACAGCAACTCTGACATCATCTGCCGACAGTGCAGCGGGCTGCAGGGGGCCTCCGTCAAAACAATGGGATGTGCCACACTGCCCTACAAAAGCATGGGAATAGTATTGCTGATGAATCATCTGGTTGTCTTAATGAGATAGTTTGACTGTGAATAAAAAAAACAAAAACAGAAATGGCTAAATATTACTTCTCTGCATCACTTTAATTCATGCACTCCCCATTTCACTATAAGAACATTTAGGGTACATCTCTATTCCTATATTTAAACACTTACCCCTCTTCAATCGACCTCAAACTCATTTATGAAGACTCTTCAGTTATTGACATCAAGAAAGACATTTCTGACACCTGTGTGAGGATACACGCAGCTGCGAGTCACACCATGCGATCAGCTGCTATGAGGAGCTTTTAGCGGGATATGAAACAGACTGACAAACAGACTAACAAACTGATACTTCTAAATGACCCACAAAAGCAAACCAGACCATCAGCAAGAACATTGATGCGGTCTATATTGGTATTTTTTATTTTTAACACCCATGAATGCTGCCCTGGAGTAGGTGTCAGACAAAAACATTTACAGCACACTGCTGACATTTTTTTAAGGGCAAAGACACACAGTGTGGGACATCTTTGAATGTTTTAAGAAAAACAGGACAACAATAGCATTTTGGTTAAGTTGCCCTTTGCTGCATTGTCATCCCCTACTCTCTCCTCCAGACATTTCCTGTCTCTCTTCAGCTGTCATATACAATGAAAAATGCCCCAAAAATATATATTTAGGAAAAGGACACACAAGTTTGTTTTTGGCAGAAAATACCACTGATGCATAGACATGACAAGATCAAAGGTTACTCACAGTAGCTATGTATAGAATTGATTAAGTTGCAAACCCTTGGAGATAAATAAATAAAATAATAATTGACAGCTGAATCAAGCATATTTACTAAAATATACAAATTATCCTAAAACTAAAAATAAGTACATGGCTCATTTTCCATTCAAGTCAACTGTACAGGAAACATTTGTATATAACACATCCTGGTTTAAATTGTACTAATGTCATGTATTATTGAAGGCTTGCCGACATTAAGTGACAGGTGGGTGTTGCAGTCTATCTGTCTACTTAATTCAAGTCTCATAGATTAACCTAGATTAATGAGAAGAGTATAAAGGTCTGTCAGAAAGCTGTATAACGTTTCCAATCTCTCACTACTCTCAGGCTGCCACAGCATTCAAATTAAAATACCAAAGTCAAGGCTTCCAAACCAATGGGTCACTTTGCTACTTTTTTTAAACACTCCATAATACTTGCTTCTTGTTTCACCATGTTTTGAAT